GGTCCGATTCGTGATTCACGTCGGAAATGGCGAGGCTAATAAAAATAAGCTCGGCTCCCGTAACATAATCTGGCTGAAGGTTGAACCTAGTTGGATTTCCATGCATAACTCCAGACGCTCCTCGGTTTCATTGTTGCGGCCCATTCTGCCAGAAAGATCCAGTTATAACATCACGTTGCTCACTAAATTGGTTCCTTCCAATAGCACTCGTCTTTGCAGAGTTTAAAGCTTTGGTCACATGCTGGCGCACCATAATAAAGCTATCGAGATAGCTAGCCAGATGTATATCACACACACACAGATGCACTCACAGCGCACCCTACATACGCTCCGTGCAGTTATATCAAGGTGGCAACTGGAATGCATGGATCTCTACTCAGATTTCTGCAGCGACCTTGAATCGCCTCTCGCCTTCTGCTGGCACAGATAGCGGGAAGTATTATCGTGCCGAAATCATGTAGATCTTGGCAGCATCACGCAGGTGTGGCTCATCTGTGCAAGGTGTTTACATGACTGCCTTTAGGGCATGATGTTGTTTGACGGGGCTATTTGTAGTGGTGACGAGTCGCGAAAAGGGTTTTCAGACTTGGCAGCACCGCGCGTGCTGACTAACTGCATGCTTTCTCGCCAGTCCTTCACGTTGAACTTGACACATGCTAAGTAAACACCGCGTCTTGGCCACGATGGCTTGTGCCGGAGTCTAGCGGATAGCCTTGCGCGAGAGGCGAACACCTTCCCCCGCGTCCAGCGCGCGGCCAGCAGTACCCCCGCACCCTGGCCCGCGCAACTATGCCGTCTCTATTACCCGGGCTGGTCAGGAGTCAGCGGGGGTGGGGCGGACCGCCCCGCCCCCTGGCGCGTCCCATTCACCCTGTTGTGACAGCCCGGACGAGCGGCGTTTTTGTCGGCCGCGCTATTGTCGTCCGCCGAGTCGTTTTTGCCGTGGGCACGATGCTAGTAAATACAAGAGGAGGCGGAGCCCAATCGTCTCTCCTGCCCGGGATTTGATGCGTCACGGGGTCCGGAGGTCATCCGGGTACTGTCTGCGGCGCCGTGTGCCGCGCTGGGGGAGGGACGGCGCCGCAACGTCTGACCCTCTCACCCACTGCGAGGTCGGATTGCGTCCAACGTAGGTCAAACGATTATGGGGGTTGGCAACAGATCGATTGTTTTCCCAACGTCTGGGTCTTACATGCTGGCGTCTGCGTCAGGTGTTCAGGGTAGTTACCATGCGCCGTGGCTGCTGAGGCTCAACCGCACGGTGTTTGGGTTGGCGCAGTTTAGGAGATGTTAGGGCATTAAAGCATTCCCCTTTCTTTCAATGTACCAAACCGGATAAGTTTTGTTTAGCTTAGGCGCTTGTTGTTTTGCCGGCATGTTTGAAGCGCTATTGAACTCACGCCGGCTTGTCAGTATGCGCGTTCGAGATCATCAGTCCTGCTCTGAGCACACTGACGCCTATTTTGCCACCGCTGCTCGTTGGAGAGTTTTTAGACCCAGCGCGAAAAATCCGGACAGAAGCCAAGGAAAATATGTCAGAACGTCCAACTAGGCGAGGAATATATCTCTTAAGTGGTCCAGTTCTGCCCCAGCGCAAGCACATCAACAGCGTCGAATCACCACCCGCGCACTTTCCTGCCTCCATGCGTGGCCAGGCATTTAATCAATGGTCGATAAACGACGTGAATATATTGCGAATTTGTGTCCGATTCCCGGCGTGATTCAAAGCCGGCGTCATCTGCAGGGGGCGTCGGCCGACTCTGAGTCAGATGTTTTGGGAGAAGGTACAGGATGTCACACCTGATGATGTGGATGTTATGTATGTGGCGGCCAGCCCGTCCGTCTCACCACTCAATGGCGAGTCACATATCGTCAGCCCCCGTGAGTCAGTGGGGGTGGTCGTCTCAGTCAGCGCCCTGCAAATAGCTGCTGAGTGATCAGGGGAGGGGATGCCCGGGCGGCCTGTCAAATACACTAATCAGGGCAGGCGTCACCGCTCGAAATACACCGCGCTTGCCAACGTTATTGGATGGTCAATCCCCTGCGACCATCGACTGTGCTTAATGGTGGGATATTGAGACTCGGGTCGGTGCCGCCCAATGTTCCAGACCTCGGGCAGGAGGGATTCGGGTCTCTCAGTGGTTGATATCATCGGCCAGAACGTTGTGCAGGCTACGTCTTCAGCTATATTTATCGTGTTACCGTGCAGACGAGAAGAGATGCTTGGAGCGAAGTCATCGCGAAGAAGATTTGGCATCAAGGTGTCGCTTGCGTTCCAAGCTGTGTCTGGACGCTGACGTTCCCCTCTTCCCCTCTGGCCAGGATGAACGCCATGGCTGGCAGGTTGAGACCTCCTCCCCCGCCCCTCTCGCTGGCTGTCGCCAGACGTCCCTCAGCTCGTGTATTTATTGAAGCACCAGAACCTGTCTGGCGGCTGGATGCAGTATGATTTTCCTCTTCGGCCCAGAGCTCAAGTTGCAGGCTGCTGATGGCTTCAACCAGAGCAAGCTCTGACCTGCAACCGTGGAATGTTTTCTGCTGACGCGGCGTTGAAGGGCGCGGATGTGCGCGTCCTCATCCCAGGGTGAAGCGAACCGTAAACGTGTTAGATTGCTGAAGCCTTGGTGGCATGCTGCCCTTTCTTTCTTACAGGCTTTATCTTGACTTTTTACAGCCCCGCAACGCCATGTGTTACTGCATTACGCTAAGGCGAGTCGCCTTTCAGCGTACCGGTCCAATTCAGAGTATGAGCGCTCAGTTCTGGGACCCGATCTGGCTCCGTAAGTTTGAGCGGCGCACCCCATTCCAGCTTGGCGTTGAAACAACACGCGACGTTTATGCATACACAACAGACGCTGGCCAAAATCCCCCGAGACGAAATTGCTGCGAGGCGGAAAATCGAAAAAGAGGTGGACCCAGATAGCGCGGGTCTGGGAGGGCATAGGCAGATCAGTCAAAATTCTTCGAGACTAAATCGCCTCAGCCTTCCCACACCTGTGCTCTTGGGTCCACCTCTGCTCGGCACGCATCAGTGACCCCAATCTGACCTGGAGGCGTCCCCAGCAAACCCCGACAGCGGCCGGCGCTCACTGCTCCAGTGGGGAGGGGGCACCGCCGGGGAGGGGAGCCGGTCTGGGACGGCGTGGCGGTCGAACGAGGCGCTGAGCACGGTGGCGGGGGGGGGGGGGGAGCGCCGCGGGGGGAGGGGAGCCGGCCTGAGACGGCACGGTGGTGGGACGAGGCGCTGAGCACAGCTTGAATGTCATCTCGGGCCCGTCGGCGAGGTCGCGCGCCGACGATCTGTCACCGATGGCGCGGCGCGGCTCGGATCAAGACCCTCTCATGCCGGATCTCATTGTCCGCCGCGAGTCGGAACCCAATGACGGGGTTTGGGCTATTTTGGGGACATCGTTGGCTTGGCACGACCTCAGAGGCTGCTGGTACTGAACTGACGGAATTTTTAGTGCTGCTTCTGTTGAGCGGATGAATTTTCGTGTACTTCCTTTTCTTAAACAGACGCAACTTCGAAAAAATGCGACTTTGAGGAACTGGCTGGATTTGAGAGTGAAATTGATCTGTTACTGAGGCGACCTCCTATGTCGTCCTGTTGTTGAGGGGTTTTCGTCGATGGCTCAGCATTGACGGCATTGATAGCCAAGTAACTCGGCTCCGTTTAGAGTCGCAGGTGCGCTGGAGTGATTTAAATCAGCACTGTGCTCAGGTGTTTCCGGTAACTTTCCATCTCTGTTCTGGGGTGTGGGGGCGATCCCGGTTCGCTTGCGGCTGAACAATATCATCCATCTTTGCGGGGCCGGCTCCGGATCGCCTCAGGATAAATGATGCTTGATGTGACAAGGCAATTTTATGATGCATAGTCGGGCTTCCTGGTTTGCGACGTTCGATGCGTTTCGCAGCGAGAACGAATATGACGCTTCCTTTTATTAATGCATCGAGACGGCGGCCTACCGACGCAGAGAAGATCGTAGTTGTAACGAGTGCAGAACGAAGCTGTCATGATGCGTTCTGTCCTCTGGCCCGGTCTTCCACTTCGAAGCCGGCGTTGGCTTGGAGCTCGCAGCTGCAGGGTCTGTGTGAAGGAGGGAAGACGTCGCCAAGCCGCTAGGCTTGCCTGACGGGTCGCGAGGGCGTTCTCAGCGGCCGGTTTGGCACCCGCACCAAGCTTAACCGCCTCTGGAGCCGTACCTGGCCCATGCTGTGGGAACAGCAAAAGGGTGTACCGTATCACTGAACAGCATACCGCATCACTACACAGCAGCTGCGGAATGAACTCAGCCCTGTTTGTGTGGGTGGAACGCCGGTTTGAACACACGTCTCTGCAAGTGCAAACCATGTGCTCTAGCGCCACGAGTTTGTCACTGGGTATTTTTAAAGCTGGGTGAGCCTTTCAAAACATGACGCTTGTCATCTCAGCTGTGTCGGCCGCTTTCGCTGTAGACGCTCTGGCTGCCCGCAACGCTAACCGTACGGGGCTGAACCATATGTTCAACATGGCTTGTTGCTGTCTGAAAAGTGAGACCGCTGCCGGCTTTTTGTTTGGCAATGCTTTCAGTGTATGCTACACATGCATGATATTGAGTTGCGACGCATTCTATCTGATGATGCACCTGTATGGCAGATCGTTCTCTTTTCCTGCCGTTAAGTTGGTTGTAGTTGTCGTCTTTCTCGATGTTAATGTGTTGCCTGTGAATGTGATCTGTAGCTGCCCAGCATCGCCTTGCACCTGTTTATGATGCCCTACCTCATCTGATCTTGCGACCTTTACCTTCTTCACTCGCAGCATCCTGCATACCTTGCACTCCCATCCAGTTTTATTTATTCTTTTTTGCTCTGTTTCTCATTCTTTACATCATTGTTGCTATCAGGTGTTCGCGTAAGCACGCTCCTCAGTCTCCCTGCGCTGTTGCGCCCCGTGTCTGGGCCCTCTTCGCCTCCGTCCTCCATCTGGCACTGTACGCCGCCGTGTGCGCCGTTTCCTGCAGGCGCTCAGGAACCTCCATGGGTCCGGTGTGGGTGACGACTATGATAGCTCCTACTATGATGACTATGAATACGGAGATGCAGACCTGGAGGTAAGTGTGGGGCCATGCAAAACCTGACGACTGCCACGTGGGTAGCGTACAGGCCCCGCGGCGTCGTTGGTTAAGACGACACGTCCGTGTGGTCCCCATCATTTTCAATTTTCTCCGAATGTTTTCCATCAATTCAGTCAACATCCGTCTGCGATTTGTTTGCTAAGTATCGGCATGGTATGAACAGCACATCCGCTTGGTCATGTATGGGAATGTGTTTATGCCGCGAGAAGCTCATAAATTTTGCAGAAACTTCCGCTGCGATGTGCTGTGTTGCGTCCACATTGAATTCTTGGGCAGAGAGAAGATAATCGAAATTGGATGACGATGAAAAAACAGGTGGCTTTCCAGAGCCAGACGGCAAAAATAAGTCCAAGTGCTAGACATATTTGAAAACACTGTTAGCTCCTACGGCCCAAAAAGCAGAACCCCTGAAGTGTACCGGAAATGCGCCGGTGCTGAATTTCCGAATTTCTAAATTCTGCACCATTCTGATATCCCGATTTCTTTCATAGCCAGAGCTTTTATCCGAATTTTACGACTGTTGCACTGGGATATTGAGGTGTTACTGCAAGATAACATAGAAATGTTGTTTAATACTCAGATGTGTGTGTGTGCGTGTATTTTTTACCCGGTGTCGAAGGGGTGCCACGACGACCCTACATGCAAATAGTCACCATAAAATGCAATCAAGAGTTTTGACTGTCATCGGTACTGGGGTTTCATGGTTTCTATTGAAGGCCAAAACAGCATGGTTTTGAGTTGTTGATGGATTCCAGACGGACCCAGCACGGGAATGGCCGCGGTGCTACCAGACTATATTGATTCGTTACAGGCTCATGTTACCAACTCTTGCGTGTCCGGTTCGGAATCTGCCCTAGCCTGCGGAGCCCGCCCCCCCCCCTCGGTCACGTAACCGGTAACCGGTTCAAACTCTGCCCCGTACTGCGGAGCCCGCCTCTCCCTGTCGCGTAGCTGGCTGCAGACAGCCAAGGCGGCGTTCTGACGCGTTGCCCGCGCGTGCCAGCACATGTCCTGTCGCTGACGCCGCGTCTCATTCAAGGAGGGCGACGACGACCTGTTCCTGGACGAGGGGAGCGGCGAGCACGAGGATGAAGGCCCGCCACTCATCCCGCCGCCACCGCCCGGACTCGAAAAATACGGTAACGGAACGAGCGGCCCGCCCGGCTCGGCCACTGTCGGATGTTCACTGTTGACCATCGGATGTTCATTGTCGACCGTCGGATGTTCACTGCTTACTGTCAGATGCTCACCGCCCACTGTTGCCTGTGCACCGCCTGCTGATTCGCCTATTCTCAAGGTCACTGGGCTGGGTCACTGGGTCACCGTCCGCGACTCGTCGTCAACCGCGAACGTTGCCGCCGTCCATAGTCGGTCGTCTACTGCGTACTGTATAATCACCTCTGCACGTCATACACTGTCTACCACGTCTTGTCTACTTTCCACGGTTCCCTGGTCAGTTGTTTACTGACCATCGTCTGCTGCTCTCTGTGTACATTCCGCTGGGTTTTGTAGCAAACGATTCCCCAAAGTTGAGCCGCGAGGCCAAATGTTGATGAGAGCTGTCCCATTCACCCTCGGTACCGACACCACCGTACTAATATTTTGCACCCGGCCCATCCGGTACTTCATCACACGGTCTTTCCCGGTGGTGACCTAGCTCCGTGACTCCCAACGATGTCTGCAGTCGAAAGTTGAGCCTTTCCCGATAGTGTACTTATTCCGCGACTATCGGACGTAGGAAGCGGTCTGCGTTCTGGCGGACCCCGCCGTCCTGTTACCATGGGCCCCTGCGACCTCCACTGTCGCGGCGCCTGCTTGCGTTCCGCTCTCGTGCAGAATGCTATCGGCTCCGAGGCGGAGTCCTGGCGCCGCACATTCCGCGGAGCCCCCGTGAGGCGCAGAGGTCCCCCGGGGAGGCGGCGCGCCCCGGCGGGCGGCGGCAGCGGCGCCGTCACAGGCCCGCGTCGGTCGCCCGTCACCCCGCCGTCGTCGTCTCAAAGCATCCGCCCGTACCAGAGCCCGCGCCGGCGGGAGCCGGGTCCGGCAATTAGTGCAGAGACCGACGTCTCCGAACTGACGAGCGGCTGGGTCCGCGATTGGCGTCTGGCAGTCGTGCGTGCAGCACTCCGTCACGGCCTGCCGCCGTCCGTCGCAGTCTGTCACCGTCCGTCACAGGGCGCCGTGGTCTTCAGAGCGGGCCCTCAGTCGTGCTGCGGTTGTGTCAGTTGAGACCGTGCGGTGCACTGCCGCAGCGTGCGGGCGGCAGCACTGCGGCAGGGGCGAGAGCGGGCCGGACATGGCCCGCGGCGCACGGCCTCAACAATATTTCATAGACAATTAGGCAGCCCTGCAATTAGGGTTGGCTTGATGGCTCCTTGAGGACCGTTGGTCGAAAGTGATGGGCAGGTGAGGGAACACATAGTCCCCTCCCCACTCCCCAACCCCACCCCCACCCCCATCGCTGCTGGAGAGATTGCGCACGACCAACCGGTGACCACAGTACCCGCTCAATCACAGCTTGAAACGACTCGCCCTCTCATACCAAACGCAGTAGCGGTTTCCTGGTCGCCTGAGAAGCAGAGGAATGAGGCACTTTCACTGCACATCAGGGGCACCCGCGCATATGCAGATTCTAGCTGGACCCTGAGTTGCCTCCACGGCAGCGCAACGCTCCGAACTGCAAGTCGGCGGTCAAACCACTTTCTAGTCTCGACCCGGGCGGGCGCTTCCGTCGCTGATATCCGGGGCTAGCCCAGGCGCTGCGAGGATGGGGCTCCAGGGGTGGCGCTGCGAGGCTAGCGCTTCTGGGATGGCGCTCCCAGGATGGCGCCCCTGGGATGGCGCTCCTGGGATGGCGCTCCGAGGATGGCGCTCCGAGACTGGCGCTTCTGAGATGGCGCTCCTGGGATGGCGCCTCCTGGGATGGCGCTCCGGGGATGGTGCTCCTAGGATGGCGCTCCTGGGATGGCGCTCCTGGGATGGCGCTCCGAGGATGGCGCTCCGAAGATGACGCTCCTAGGATGGCGCTCCGGCTACCGGCGCTCTCGGGTCTGGCGCTGCTGCTCCACACGCGGATGCTGCTGTCGCTCGGGGCCCACATACGGGCGGGGCTCACCAGACGCTGGTCATTCTGCCGAATGAGGCGACGCGCACCCCTGGCGCACGATAGAGCGGCAGAGCGGCGAGGCGGATCAACTTCTACTCGGTGCTGACTATCGCGATGCGTGTTTCCATAGATGGCGATGCGGTCTGGAATGACGGCAGTATTTGTAAGGCACAGCGAGACCCGATTTGTTCGCATGTGATTTCGGAGCCGTCTGGGGTATTGAGCGTGCCGACATACCTGTGGTTTGTCTTGACAGTCATCCCTAAACTGTGCTTAAGCCCAGGCGGACAATGGCATCCCACCGTGTGCACAGTAATGACCTAAGCACAATGACTCACATTCCTGTCTGATCCGTGCCGGGACCATAACCGCTAGTCAACAGCTCGTTACTGATCACGAGCTGACCTTCTCAGTTAGGCCCATCCTGCATGCCGTCCCTGAAGCTTCAGCAGTTAGCCTGCGGACCCCTCGGTTAGCGCAGCTTAGGCCGCACTCTCGCAGGCCCATGCCTCCGTCGGGCGGTGAGATATCACCCGCCCATTGCATTGCGTTTTATTTCGGGTCCTGACGGCGGTCAGCACTGGTTTTACGGGGCGCAGTTAGCTGTATGGAGCTCCGCGCCGCACCGGTGACAAACTGGTTTCGGACTTGGGAAGTGTCGGCGACGCTATTCGTGTCGGGCGCCGCGGCTGCCCGGTTGGAGCGCGCCGGCTCGCCCGTCAGTGGCATTGCTGTGTCGTGCAGGCACGCTGTCAGCTCCAGCGCCGCCCCGGCGGCACTACGAGCGATTGCGGCTCGCTCTGTCCGGCTGTCCGGTCAGCACTGCCTGCTGTCCGATCAACACTGTCCATTCAGCACTATCCGCTGTCAGCGTTACTTGTCGGCCGATCAGCACTGCCCATTCGGCACTGCCCGACGAACGGTCATCACTACCTGTTGTCCAAATAGTACTCTCCGATCAGCACTGTGCACTCAGCACTACCCACTGTCCGATCGGCACTATCCGGTCAGCACTACCTGCTGTCCGATTTAATCTGTCAGATCAGCACTGTCCGTTCAGTACTACCTGCTGTGTGATCAACACTGTCCATTCAGCACCACCCGCTAAGCGATCGGCACTGTCCGATTAGCACTATGCGCTGTCTGACCCAAACTGTCCGATCAGCACTGATCGGCCCGTGTTTTCCGCCGTTTGATCGCATTGCCAGACCCTGTCAAGCGTTATGTGCTGAGTTTTCCATTCACTTTCTAGCTGTCCAGTCTGTTGACCTGCCTACTCGTCTGATCTCTGCTACCTTGCCGCGCGGTCAATGCCAGATTACGTCGTTGCTATTCGTCGGCGGGCTCGACCCCTGCTCATTCCGCTGCAAGTCCAGTGTCTCCTGACCGGCTATCACTGAGCCGCCTACTTGCCCCCTCCTGTCCAGCTGTCGGGCCGGCGCCATGTCGTTCTCGCCTGCCGTCTCTGTCCTGTCTTCTGTCCAGCTGTCTGGTCGGCGCCAAGTCAGTCTCCCTGCCGTCCCTGTCCCGTCTCCTGTCCAGCTGTCTGGTCGGCGCCAAGTCAGTCTCCCTGCCGTTCCTGTCCTGTCTCCTGTCCAGCTGTCTGGTCGGCGCCAAGTCAGTCTCCCTGCCGTCCCTGTCCTGTCTCCTGTCCAGCTGTCTGGTCGTCACCAGGTCAGTTGCCCCTGCCGTCTCTGTCCTGTCTCCTGTCCAGCTGTCTGGTCGTCACCAGGTCAGTTGCCCCTGCCGTCTCTGTCTTGTCTCCTGTCCAGCTGTCTGGCCGGCGCCCTGTCGGTCTCGCCTGCCGTCTCTTCCCCGTCTCCTGTCCGCTGCCTCGGTCGACACCTGACCCGGCTGCAGGGCGCGGCAGTGTTGATCGGCCGCCTCCGATGGCCGATAATCGCTGGTGGCCGTTGGACGACGTCTACGAGAGGGTTGGGTCGGCAGACGGCCTTTGAGCGCCCGTAATAGGCTGTCCACTCAATGGAGCCGCGGCACTGTGCCTTATTCAGCCTCCCCCCCCCCCCCCCCTCCGCCCCACTCACCCGGTCCAACCAGACCGCCTGGAAACCGGCCCATACATAGGCAGACGGGGCCGCGGAGGCGAGACCGCGTGCCGGCATGCTCGCTTCCCCTCCCCTGGCGGTGCAGCGCGCGCCTTTGTTGCCCTCAGCCGAAACGCTGTTTGGTGAAGTGGGTGCAGCCGCCCGCTCCCTGCGCAACGGCTGCTGACGGCCAAGCTTGCCGCTCACTCAAAGAAAGCGGCTGATTTTTCAGGGCCGGCTCATGATCTGGTGGATCGTTGACAGACTGTTAACGATCGCGGGTAAAACGGGTTTCCTCAGGCGGCTTTAGCAAAAATGCATCACTTAATCAATTGGAATGTTTCAGAGCTGTCAATGGACAGCCACGGATGAGAAACCGAACCTGAGGGGGAGGGGGTGCATGCCAATGTTTTCTGAAAGACTTAAAATTGAGACCAACATAGAAGTGGGGTTTTACAATGAATGTGGGTGATGTCATTTGGTGTCTATTCTTTGCATGAGGCACCGCAGACATAATGTTAATTTTATGAGATGTTGTGATGCAGCCATATATTTGCCACTTGAAATAGATCTAAGGGCTAAGGCACGATCGATGTCTGTTCGTGGTGTAGTTTTCCTCAGCATGCTGATTTAATGTTTAATGCAAGCAAGTTTGCCAAATGTGAGGGGCTCGAAACACGAGCTACGCTGGTACCACCGGCCATGGTTAACACTGTTTAGATGTTTTTGAGAGTGCTAAAGCAATGTCTCTCATTTTTTCCAGCAGGATTTAGTTGCTGATGAACAGAGTATGTTATGAGACTTGAGTTACTACTGTCATCAAGATCGGAGTTAGTAATAAATAATGTGCCGTCGTCAGCTCCGTCTGAACGTGATTGATGATACTTGACGTTGTCAGCGTTGTCACACTTGCACCGACCGTAACAATGTGTGACATGATGACCAGCAAGTTCCAGACGGTTTAAATCAGGTGTGCCGCTTAAGAGCTTCAACTCTGTCGGGGGGACAACACTTGTACCCGTTTACAGCACATTTACGACTGCACCGCAAGCACAATTCCAAAGTCAACACCCGTTCCAGGGCCTTGCAACGAAAGCAAACCAGTCAGCTTCCTCTCAGAGGGAAAAAGTCACTACTCTCTCAGAACTTGGCTCGCCTGTCGCGTCCATACGTTGGCTTGTCCATGCTCTAAGCACTGAACGAACTGATCATCGCAATCTATCCCCATCCGCCAACTCCAGGCCGGCAGTTCTGCCGGCAGCCGCTGCGTGGCGCCCCAGTCTCCGATTCAGAGCGGCGCTGTTACGGCGAGGCCTGTGTGCTACGAGGTCTTTTCTGGTCACGCCCAGACGTCGACCGCTGGACGTGTGCTGCGTGTAGCCCGGTGACCTGGCTCCGTCCGTGGCCCGCTGACCTGACCCCGCATCTGTCGGCGGCCTGAATCTGTCTGTGACCCGCTGACCTGACCCCGCCTCTGTTCCAGCTTCTAAAGGAGAGCCGGGTGAACGAGGTCCTGTGGTGAGTGTCTGCGGCACCAGTGTCGGGGATCGAAACTCAGACTAGGGCGCAGCGCTTTGCGATTTGTTAGTCTCAAGGAGCCTTTGATTCAGCGCAATGTCCGTTGCTGTGTCCAAACTCGTTGAAACGTTGCCGCCATGGTATGCTGCACAGTGCGCACACGTTCTTTACGCGGGTCAGGTATCATGCGGCGTCATAGAAGAGCGACCGGCGGCATATACGGCGAGAGAGCTCTGTAGCAGGTTTGGGTCGGGTATGGGTATACGCAGGGCGCCAGGCTTTCGCTTCCCACGGGGTCAGAGTCCATCTGTGGAGCTGTTTGGCAATCGTGAAACGTCCGCGCCGCCACGACACGTTCCGCCGACCCTCATCCGTCACGGCGGCTCTCGCCAGTGATGGAGCCTTGGCAGAGGCCATTTGTGTTGACATGGGTGTCGTTGTTTCGCCAGGGACCCCCCGGCGAGTCGATAGTGGGACCCCAGGGGCCGCGGGGAGAGCGAGGCCCGCCAGGACCTCCCGGCTCGGGCTTCGAAGGGTCTGGAGACGACGAGGTAAGGGTGAGAGGTGACCGACCGGCTCGTGTTCGCCTGCTCGTTTGAATCATGTCTCGAGTCTTAGAGAGATTTGGGGCAGGCTCGGCAGCGAATATCAGTCAGTGTCAACGCAGCCGTGATTTGCACTTAATTGTTCTGAATCTATGATGTAGTTTTTTCCTGTAGTCTTCCATGTCTTTCCTACAAAGCCACCCCATTTGAAGGATCATGTAATGTTTTCATCACCCGAAGTATGCCAATTCACTGCTTGTAGGATCTAGACAAGCCATATCTTAAAGGTATTGTGCCAATGACAAAACACGCTCGGTATTGTCATAGCTTTTTGTGCGTCTAGGGAACCAAAGGTACGGCGTTCGAATCCCCAAGGTGCCCGTTCTTTCGAGCAGGGTGAGATGTAGTCGGCACCATGTACCCCCAGTAGCTGGGTGCGTCGCAAAGTCCCGGTAGCGTATGCGCGTGACGTAATACGCCACAGAAATATCATGGTAACTTCGATATAATTGAAAATGCATTAAGTACATAGGTTATGATTTGCCATTTTTGGACTCACCATTTTGCCGCCTAAAAACACGTTGGTGTATTAAATGACTCGACATTAACGCTCATATGCATAACTTAATGCCCTAAGAGGCGTTTTGGTTCAGTCTTGCAACGAACGCTTGTGTGAGATTTCGGCTTAGCCTCGGTGAAATAACAAATTCGGGGTGGTCAGTATATTTGCTGTCGGTGTCTCCGACACCACATGGTCAGAGACGGTTATTTATTTGCTGTGACTCGGGTGTCGCCCACGCTGTCTGCCTCGTCGCGACGGAAGTGCTGGAGGCAGTCGCAGACCCGCCCGGCCTCTGGCCGCCGGGTAAGGTGACTCGCGGCACCAGCAGAGGCCTGGCCATCCTCGCAGTGATCTCACCGCCTGATGCAACCACGGCTGGGCTCGCCGGAGACACCACCCCACGTGTCCTCCCCGGGCGGCGCTGCAAACGAGCCATGACCTGACCCCCCCACCACCCCCACCCCACCGGCCGACGGATACGGCAGGCCGCGACCCGGGCCCTCCCCACCGGCCGAGCACCCCGGGCTCCCACCGTCGGCTGACGGATACGGTAGACCGCGACCCGGGCCCTCTCCACCGGCCGAGCACCCCGGGCTCCCACCGTCGGCTGACGGATGCGGAGCGCCTCAGCGCCCTAGCGGATGACGTGGGATTTACACGCTGGTTTGGCTTCGTCCCGCGCATGCACCACCGGTCTGGACAGGGACACGCCTTCACATATGCCGATTCAAAGAAGTTGACTTTGCCTTCGTGGGGATCGCCGCACGGGAATACACGGCTTGGTCACTGCGCCCGCGTCGCCATACCGTGAGGACTCCTCTGCCGTGACGGGTGTGGTGAGACTCCCCTGCCGTGACGGGTGTGGTGATCACGCCTCTGTCGGCTTGCGCACCACGCAGGACGCCCCTGTTGTCGCAGGCGCCGAGCAGATACCCTGTCGTGGCGGGTGCCATGTGGACACCCCGTCGTAGGCGGGTGCCATGCGGACACCCTGTCGTGGCGGTTGCCTACGGTGTCGTGGCGGTGCCATGTGGACACCCTGTCGGGTGGTGCCGTGAAGACCCCCGGTCGTGGCGGATGCCGTGTGAAAACCCTGCCGTGGTGGGGGCTATATGGACACCCGTCGTGGGAGGGGCGCCGTGCAGACGCCCCTGTCGCGGGGTGCCCACGGTCGTGGCGGGTGCCATGTGGACACCCTGCCTTGGCGGATGTCATATGGGCACACTGCCGTGGCGGGCGTCATGTTGACACTCTGTCGTGGCGGGTGTCATGTGGACACCATGTCGTGGTGGGTGTCATGTGGACACCATGTCGTGGTGGGTGGTCATGTGGACACCATGTCGTGCGGGTGTCATGTGGACACCATGTCGTGGTGGGTGTCATGTGACACCATGTCGTGGTGGGTGTCATGTGGACACCATGTCGTGGCGGTGTCATGTGGACACCATGTCGTGGTGGGTGTCATGGTGGACACCATGTCGTGGTGGGTGTCATGTGGACACCATGTCGTGGCGGGTGTCATATGGACACACTGCCGTGGCGGGCGTCATGTGGGCACCCTATCGGCACTGATGCCATGTGGACACTCTGTCGCGGCGGGCGCCATCTGAACACCCTGCTGTGGGGGTGCCGTGCTGGCGTCCCTGTCGTCACAGGTGCCGTGCGTACGTGCCGTGCTGAGGACACAGCTGTGATGTCAGCGGCGGCGGCGCGCCCACCATTGTCCTCTCGGCTCGCGCAGCGGGCGGCCGAAGCGAGCGGCGGGCGGCGCGCCTCGGCCCGAGCGCCACGTCACCCGCGTCCCTGTGGTCCGTCTGTGTCTCCTGGAACCTGTCACCGGTGGTCTGTGTCGCCTGGGCCTGTCGCTGGTGTCCGTGTCACCCTGGGACCCGTCACCGGTGGTCGTGTAAGCTTTGCTATGTTGTCACGTGTGATATTCATGATCTGTGTAATGTGCGTGATATAAATATTCTGTTTTAGGTCTTTGACCTAAATATACTAAATGGTACTTGCTCGTATCATATCATATCATATCATGCACTAAATGATACTTTGCTCGCATCATGATGCTTGGCTCGTATCATTTAGTAGATACCTTTTGTATGTGCCCTGTCATACCGCACTTGTATGATCTGAAAGCGTGATAGCCACTGTGTGGATGGTTTCCAATGTGTTGATGATATGTGGGATATGTGGTCGGTCATCTGCGGTATGTGACCAGTCGGAATCCCGACTGCCCCATGACCTTTGGTCGCTAATTTGAAAATCATAGTCGCTGTGCGAAGGGCTCACTTCGATGTCATGAGTTGTGTTCCCTATTGCAGAAATCCAGCGGTATGCGATAACCGCGGTCTGCGTCTCTGTGACCTCCACCACATTCGTTTAGCGCCACCCGTGACCTGCACCACCTGTGGACTGTCTGTGTCATCTGTGTCTGTGTCTCCTGTGAACTGGCCTGTCTGTGTCATCCGTTCTGTGTTTCCTGTCAACTGTGATCTGCCTGTGTCATCCCTGCTTGTGCATCCTGTGAATGTCATCTCCTTGTGGCATCTGTGTCTGTATGCCCCGTGAACGGGTCTGTCTGTGTCATCCCTGCTTGTGCATCCTGTGAATTGTCATCTGCTTGTGGCATCTGTGTCTGTATGCCCCGTGAACGGGTCTGTCTGTGTCATCCGTTCTGTTCTCCTGTGAACTGTCACCTGCTTGTGGCATCTGTGTCTGTATGCCCCGTGAACGGGTCTGTCTGTGTCGTGCGCCACACGTGGTCGGCGTGTCACGCTGACCCCGGGCGGTGGACCTGTGTGGTCTGACGCGCCATTGTCAGCTGCAGCGTGACCATCGCTGGGCGCCGGCTCCGATGCCGATAGCGCCGGCGCCATCTCGGGCGGATCCCGTTAGGTGCTCCTTTGTCCTGTCGAGGGGCGGCACGGAGGGCGCTGCCGCCACCGACCACCTCAGACCAGCCCTCAGCGGCCTCCGCTGGATCGCGGGCTCGTGGGCTCCGCGTGCGGATCGGAAGCGGTTCGCCGCGTGTTCTGGCGGCTCGCTCATGTTTGATATGTTAGCACGGACGATGTGCGTAGGACTGCTCGAAGAACTCAGCCCTAGAGAGGACTCTTGACGAGTTGTAAAACAGCAAGTACAGTAGCATTTAGTGAAGTGAACCAGCAAATGTCGCACTTTGAGTCCTTTTTAGAAAAATTGACTCTGCCTTAGCGTAAATCAATATATTTAATGCGGTATCATTTCAACGCAACAATAGCATGTTGTCCCCTGATCAGCACGTCAGGGAAATATCTCGCACCGCAGACCTTCGATCGGACGGGCACGAGCGGGTGAGGTTAGCACCTACCCGGTAACCAGCCGCGTTAAGTAGCAGCAGCACTGATGGCATGCGGGCAGAACATGACGGCGGCGAGATGTGTTTTAGGTGTGCTAATCGGCTGTTATCTTGCTTCCCCAACGTTTATGGCGCATCGGTTCACTACATACCGAACCGCCCTTATGGCGGAGCCTCGTCGGTGGCATATCTGCAGGCGGCGTCCATTGACCTCACGGGATGGCATGCGGTCACGACAACGGGATGTAATGATGGGATCCAAGCCCTGCCGAAGCGAAACCGCGCGCTTGTTGTGGCCAGACCTCAGGACACACGTCGCATCTTGGTGCGCCAATGAGAGGAGCGTCCGAACGCCCGGAGATCGGAATGGGTCACCCCTGGAACGTGGACGGGAATGACATCCTTATATTATGACCTTCCCTCGAGGCATCTTTGAGACGCTGACGTGGTGACAGGTGATCGACGCCCTGCAGACACTGAGATGCCATTGTGATCGAAATTTGGCGCCCTTGATGCGGTGTCCTCGTGACCAGACCTCTGCAAGCCCACTCAGGGTACCCTGGGACATGAACTCAGCTCTCCTGAAACGTTACAGGGTTGAGCCTGCGTGGCAAGGTCTGGCAGAAACGTCACACCCGTGAAAGGTGTCCCGTGGGCTTGTGGCCTGTTTCTCGATCATCAAGAGTTGTTGCTTTGATGAATGTTTCGTACAACCACTGGCAGAATGTCCAAATTTTTGCATGCTGGCTTAACATCACTTTACCAACACGACTCATACGCTTATAACAGACTCTGAAAGGTGACCATAAAAGCGCCGAGCTAAAGCCGTCCTAATCGCCGTAAGTTGTATGTCAGCCCAAGCGTGAAAACCTAATTTTTGAATATGATGAAGCCCCACCAAATGTAAACGTGACTTCAAGGTCCAAGCTCCTTACGGAAGGCATTCGTACATCCCTGAGAGATCGAAAACCTGTCTTTGACGACTGTGCCATGGTGTGCCACGCGAATGCAAATCCCCCATTAGTATTTGGCTAAGAGATCGGAGAGAAAATAGCATAAGTACTAGGCCACTTACGAGGAAAAGCGAGTGTCGATGGCATTTCAACAGCTATGCCGTGGACAGTGTCGTGAGAGTCTTGCAGTTAGTTGCGTAATTCCATTGAGCTAGATCTTGTGTTTGGAGGAAACGAAGAGGATGATTTTCCGCCACTTAAACGGAAAACCCGATTATTTAATGGAACTTGAGTGCTCTCTTCTGTCCCTAGAAAATCATGGTACGGCTTTGGCGCGGGTAATACATGCTGCGACGCATTAAACTTCGCGCGTATGGCGCAGTAAACAAGGAGCTTGATGCAGCTCATCAAGATGTTACCAGTCAAAATTCCGTGAAGTCTGGCACAGAATATACAAACGAATACCACCTCCAGAAGTACAACACGGAGACATAAAAACGCCCCTTCGTCCTTGGCCAAATGTGATATCCCTGGTAGCACACCATATTTCACGGTAAACAAATCATGCTGCAAGCCGACATCGTACTAGGCCTTACACTCCATGACTGCACTGCCCGGTTCGTGACGTATAACAATTCGCGGGACAGGGATCAGACAAACCTTTGTTAGTGCTGGTGATGGAGCCCGTAAAATGCATCTAACACGAGACCTGGGAATGTGCGGAAAAGTACTCAAGGCAGCCTTTAAGATGCTGTTCGCCCGCCTGCTGGATGAGCCAACGCGACTGCCAACCAGCTCTGCCATGACGTAGCTGCATGGTTTGTTGACAATTCTTCTACGCGATTTGTCCCAGGGTCCCAGGGATTAATTACCCCACCGCTCGCTCCACATGGCTTCTGGGGTCAAGGGCGGCACTGGCAAGACCTTGCCAGCCGGCGACTGTGATTACAACGAAGTCCTTGGTGGTGACTCGGGATTCAGGGCATGCCGACGGCTTGGTCACTCACTACCCGCATGCGGCCTATGGAATGTCAGCATGGACTGCCGTCACCCCGATCGTGAACGTGCATTAAAATTGCTCTGAAAATCTATCAGTGCATACCGTGTCATTAAAGTCGTCTCCCGCGGCTCACATCCCGCCATACTGGCCCTTACTTGTGTGCGTACATCGTGTTACTGGACGCGAAAACGTCGCTCGCCATAGCAGCGGTGCTAGAAGCTCTTTCGGGACCGGTTCTTGGCTCGATGGTCTCTGCAGCGCGGCCATCACCCGCCGCTCAGCCGGCGTGACCCCGACGAAAGCCCTTCCTGCCCCTCTCCCCCCCCCCCCGACGAGAGCCCCCCCCCCACGTCCCCCCGACAAGCGCCCTCCTTGCCCCCCACGGGAACCCCTCCTGTCCTCCCGACGAGAGCTTCTTCTGTCCCCCCAACGAGAGCCCCTCCTGTCCCACCGATCAGAGCCCCTTCTGCTCTCCCCCTCCCCTTCTTGCTGTGGATGCTCGCTCATCGAACACGGCACTGGCCGGCCATCGATGCACTGCCTGCCGTGCAGCCCGCTCTGTTTACCGGCAGTCTGACCGGCGCCTGGCGACAGACTCCGGCGTGCTGCAGGCTAGACGCCCCCCCCCCCTCTCCTCCCTCCACAGCCGGGGGGGGGGGGGGGGGGGCAGCCGGGTGACGCTGGTATTCGGGGCGCGTGTTATGTGTAGGCAGATTCGCTCACTGAGCACCGGTCATTCCCGTTATGCAGCGAAAGGCTCGGGCGGTGCTGCAAAGTGTGTGGTAACCGGTGTTGCACTACGTCTAGTGGGCAAAGACACGGAGTGCGCCGTCGCTCCGCTTGAGTTTCATTGTTGCATGTGGCGCACTGCGTGTCAGAGAAACCACTGTCTAAGTGGGATAAACGACGAGTTCTTTGGCCTGGCATGGCCACGTGCGGTTCCTGATCAGGTCACACACGTAAACAGGTCGCATGTCGAAGGTAACTGAGATGCGAGCATACTATTTTGTATCGGCATTGGTGTACTGAGAGCATTTAGGAACAACCATGCGTAGTATCTTCGGGGTAGACATGCTGATAGCTATGTTTCGCGGCTGCTGCCATCTGTGAATAACTGATCGTGGCATGCGCGGAAAGGATTTAAGTTCGCCACCGCCCGTGTGATTGTAAGGTCACGTCAGAATGGCACTGCTCCAGGTAAATCAATGTCGTTTCTTGTAGATTAGCGCTTGTTGGTAAGCAGACAACGTTTGATGACATCAGAAGCCTGCCGTATATAGAAACTGCCTGTTGTGAAGGGCTCCGCCTTCTCTACACAATGCATTCTTGGGTGACCGTGTCGCCTACACGATCGTCGACTGCACCGCCGTTCCCTGCACCATCTGGCACCTGTCGGAGGGGGAGGGGTGACACGTACCCAGTCGTATGATTCCCTGCCCCCTGACGATCCGGTGTTGCCGGCAGGATGGCGTATGGAGTGCGGCCGGACCGCCCGGGCCCCCTGGAAAGTGTTCGTGTGACCTCGACGACTTGGCAGCGGTGCTAATCACCTACAAAGAAGTGCGCGGTCCAGAGGGCGCTCCCGGTCTGGACGGCACGCCCGGCATGGCCGGATCCCCGGTCAGTGCCCCTCGTGGCCCCTGGCTGGTGCCCACGAGGCCGGAGCCTTGAGGCTCTCTGGCTGGTGCCCACGAGGCCGGAGCCTCGTGGCCTCCTGGCTGGTGGAGCCTCGTGGCCCCTGGCTGGTACCCACGAGAGGTCGAAACCTTGCAGCCATTGGCTGGTGCTCAGGAGAGTCGGCGGTGGTGTACAGGACTGACACGCATGCCTTTGTTTTCATCGAGCCCGGTTCGATGAACCCGGCAAGCGAACTAGGCTCAATTGCCGTCATTTGGACGGACGCGAAGACAGGTGGAAGAGCCAGGTGAAGTGCTGAGTGTTGCAGCACTCGTCGGCGTCGGCTGCTAGTTCGCGTTACTCGGATGTGTCCGTGTGTTTTTGTTTTTGTCCTTTTTGTAATGGCTGCCGGCTGCTGTCGCCAGTCAACCGGAACACGTCTTGCACTGACCGCGCCGGCGACGTGTTTCAGGGCCATCCAGGTCCGAGGGGAGAACGCGGCCCGGAGGGGCCCGAGGGGCCCCAGGGAGAGCGCGGAGATGCCGGGCCCAGGGGGCCGGAAGGTATTCAAGGCCTGAAAGGTTCGTGTCGGTTGCCCAGTGCGATACCGAAGCGCAGCAGGGTGATGTAATTATTAAGTCATGTTCCATGACGATCAATCCATTATTTTACACCCTGGCGTATCTTTTATATTGTTTCATTTCCAAATAAGTGATATGGCAATTGTACTTCGATCAATCTGTCACGTACAGCAGGCGTTTTGTGTGGTACGTGGGCGTATCTGATCGAATAGGTAAGACTATGTATGGATAACGATAGCCTATGCCCAGCCCAGAATGTGTCCGGCCTGCCGAGCCTGAACTAGACTCTGTGTCTGCGTCCCACCTGCCGAGTCTGACTCTGGGCTCTGTGTCTGTGTCCCACCGGTTGAGTCTGACTCTGGGCTCTGTGTCTGCGTCCCACCTGCCGAGTCTGACTCTGGGCTCTGTGTCTGTGTCCCACCTGCCGAGTCTGACTCTGGGCTCTGTGTCTGTGTCCCACCGGTTGAGTCTGACTCTGGGCTCTGTGTCTGCGTCCCACCTGCCGAGTCTGACTCTGGGCTCTGTGTCTGTGTCCCACCGGTTGAGTCTGACTCTGGGCTCTGTGTCTGTGCCCCACCGGTTGAGTCTGACTCTGGGCTCTGTGTCTCTGGCCTGCCTGACGAGTGTGACTCTGGGCTCCGTGTCTGTGCCCCACCTGTCAAGTCTGACTGTGGGCTCTGTGTCTGCCAGGCGATCCCGGCACGGACGGCGTGCCCGGCTCTCGAGGGGAGCCCGGTCCGCCCGGCCCGCCCGGCCTGGGGCTGGGTAGTGGACTCGGTAGCGGATTCGACGTAAGTCACGCGGCAGCTGGGAGACCGAGTCGTGACGGTACTGACGTACACACACGGACGTGTTTCGGAGATGGGAGCTACAATTAGAAAATTGCGTCTTGGATAGGACACGTTAGTCTGGTCGCTAGCAGTTGTCCGCAGCCTCCGTCATTATTTGGCGCCCCGGTGGTCGGCTCTCTTTCCCCTCTTTCCCTCTCCCTCTCTCTCTCTCCTCTCTCTCTCTCTCTCTCTCTCTCTCTCTCTCTCTCCCCTCTCTCTTCTCTCTCTCTCTATCTCTCTCTCTCTCTCTCTCTCTTCTCTTCTCCTCTCCTCTCTCTCTCTCTCTCTCTCTCTCTCTCTCTCTCTCTCTCTTTTGGTAGCCTCGCGTCACGTCGCGTGTATCCACCACCAGTGACGTGTGACTGTCCTTTCCAAGCGCTCATGGAACCCGCGGAACATATTTAAGGTAAGAACGTAATACGCTCGGTGTGATCATGACGTGCGCTCTCCAGTGTAGTTGGAGGCGTCTGCTTTAGCTCCTCTGAGTGTTAAAGAATTCTTGACTGCGCTGCGCACGGATGGTTCGGCGATCTGGTCTGCCCCGGAAGAGAGCTGCGGACTGGCCGGTGATGCTGCCGACTGGTCAGTTCGGAGGTCCAGTCTGCTCCAGGGGAGCGCTGCGGACCGGCCAGTCTGGCGGCCCGGCCTGCTCCAGAGGAGCGCTGCGGACTGCCCGATGGCGCTGTGACTCTCCCTCTCTGTTTTCAGCAGAACGATGAGACGTTCGGATCTGGCTATGGTGCCGGCGGGTACGGCCTGCCCGGAACACCAGGACCTCCAGGTCAGGGGCCGGGCTGTGGAGCCCGACTCGCTCCCACCGCTCATCTAGTTCGTTTTGTGAACCGGCGGTCTCTATATTTGATTGTGCGGCGGCGGCCTTTGGAATTGGGTTTAAAATTGTTGGCTACAGCATTTCATCACCCAAGTGGCATAACCTGACTTTTGTCGGTGCCACCACCTGTTGTTGGTTTGACAGCGTTCACACCGCTGCCCCAGCCAGTTGTTTAACTGGGGAAGGGTCGGAAAAGATCCGGAAAAGCTTGGCAAACCTCAAGTTTCCCCAACCAGCTTGGAAATGCTTCGGGTTTCTCAACCTTTCCCTATCGAGTCACCGCCATAGGCCTTCATTTGTGAAACTTGGGATTCTCCGAACCTTCCCGACCGTCCAGTTTGGGATACGCCTGGGTAGGTCAGTTGTCAGTGCGTAATCGCCGCGGACAGTTCAGGGAACGCTCCGGAATCCCTGAACAGTCGTTTTGGAAAAGGTTTACAAATTCCGAATTATACCGGACATTTTTCAGCGCGGCATGTCATTGGCAGCTCGGGGAGCGCTCCAGACACCCCGCTTGCGGAAATTTTAGCAAATGCACCGGAACGGGCTGCGAATTCTAACCAGTGCGTCAGCACTTTTCGGCGCTGACCCCGAGCATTCTCAGACCGGGAGGTTGAGGAACGGCCTGAATAGCCCGGCTGGGATCTCGGACCGATATCGCTGGATGTGGCGCTAATCCTGTCCGTGTCAGATGTCGTTTAACTGGTGTCGGTCCATGTGTGTATCACGCAAGCACATCGTTTGATCTGCGCTGGTTTTTCTCCTGCTTTCTGACGGTTTTGCCTGGGCTCCTCTGGCTGCAGGGCCGGCTGGCTTGGACGGCGCGCCCGGCACACCGGGCCCCGTGGGTCTTCCCGGCATCAAGGGCGAGAGAGGGGAGACCGGCGTGCCCGGAGAGAAGGGCGAACGGGTGAGGACCCTGCTCTGCCTCCACCTGCTCTGCACGCGGTTTTCAGTCGCTGGTTGTGCGGGGTCTTGAGCAACACTATCAGTTTGTGACTCTTGTTGCAATGTGCAATAGGCTGCAACCCTAGCTTGCAATGTTTGCACGGTGATGTGAGTTTTCAATACGAAAACTTTGAGATTCTGCGACATATCAGTAGATTTTTCGCTCTTTTTTCATTAAAGCAATAAATCTAGGAGCCCGCCTCATTGTCCTGAAAATTTAGATCTTCCTATGCATTTTGCACGTCATGCTCTGTTCACCTATGCGTGCATGTCAGTTGTTCTCCTTGTCCTGTCCTCCAAACCGTTGTCTCGTTGTTGTCCTTGACCCGCCCTTTACTGCTGCAGGGCTTCCAGGGCTCGCAGGGGCCGCAGGGCTTCAAGGGCGAACCTGGCGAGTCCGGGATGGACGGCCAGCCCGGCCAGCCGGGAGCGATTGGGCCGCGTGGTGAGCGAGGTCAGTGACGCCGGATGATGCGGCACCACCCTGCTGCCGCCCCAACACGGCGCAACTGGTGACTGGGCTGCCAGTCTGCAATGCAAAAGTGCTGTATGGCTGTGGACGCTATGCTGTGGGTTTGAGATGTAGATTGTTTCCGTTCCGTGTCATGCGTGAACCAGGCTGGTTTGGAATCAGGGCCTGTGTAGTGTACGTTTGTGACGATCTGATGTCCAGCGCAGTGTGAGATGCGTCGTGTCTCGGCCGTGCCCACGTGCCCTGCGCCGGGCGGCGCCCCTGACCTGCGCGCCCCCGACCTGCGCGCCCCTGACCTGCACGCCCCTGACCTGCGCCGCTGACGTCAGGTCCCGCCGGGCCGGCCGGACCGCCCGGTCCTCCGGCGCCTTCCGGGCCCCACGCCGAGGAGTGGGGCTGGGACGAGGACGGCGTCGGCGGCTCCGGCTCCGGCTACGGGCCGCGTCCTCGTGAGTGGCGCCGCAGGGGCCGCCGGCCGTCCGTCAGACGGCGGCCGCTCGCCAGCAGAAGCTCAGAGCGGTGACCGCATCCAGGCCTGGCTACGGACGCAGCTGACTGATGGAGCCTGGGGCTTTCGTGTACATTCCTTCACTGCCGAGACTAAAGATAGCTAGTATAGGACGATGGTGTTTTCGTTCATGGCAAACGTAGTTATATAGCATAATTTGGAACAGATAGCAAAAAAAAAAAACGTTCCCACCTGATACGATCAAACGATTAGTGCGCCTGATTGTCCCAACGGACACTTCAAGCCCAGTTTGTGTCTGCGTGGTAACTATCGTGCCGGCATGGCGGTGTAGGGCTGCCCGCCTCACCACAGTTCTTGTGACCTCCAGCGCCATCGGGCGTGGGAACACCTGGCTCGCCGGGTCCGGCCGGACCCGAGGGCCCGCCGGGCCCGCCCGGTCCACCCGGGGTGGGCCTGCCGGGCCCGCAGGGCGAGCCGGGCCTGGACGGCGCCCCCGGCCTGCCTGGACCTCAGGGACCGCCCGGAGCAGCCTCGGCCTCGGTCTCGGCCGACGGTGTCACGCTCAAGGTGCTGCTCCCAGCGGGCACTGAGCGGCCGCCCACGTGCTGCTGCTGTGACGTCATACTGCTGCGGCAGTGTCACACGTGTCAATCTGATTCTGAACGCATCAACGCGGCATCGTTAAACTGAGAACTTGAGTGTCAGAACTGTAGAGAAAAGAAGTCATTCATGTCAAAGGTGATTTAATAACGCACTGATTGCGCAGTGTTCTTGGGCAGCTCGCAACGAACCATCTTCATGTACTTTACAGTTGTAGTGCCGGTACTTTCTATAACCAGTACTACCTACAGCTTGTGATCGCGTTGTTCGATGGGTTGCATTGCATTTGTACCCCTATCGTCATTCCGACAATGGCTTCTCAAATACGTTTTGCCCACTGCAATCGACCTTTGCTGCACCTGCCGTGGCGGTCGAGGCTCGCTCGCGCCCAGCCGCGAGCGCCGGTGACCGCGGTCTGACCCCGCAGGGTGAGAAGGGTGACCGGGGAAGGCGGGGCCGACCCGGCCCACCTGGCCGGCCAGGACCAATCGGAGAGCTTGGCATGCCCGGCTGGCCGGTAAGAAACTGCTCACACCCTGGTAACTGGAGTTTCCAGCGTCAAAGCAGGCCGCATCCCCCTGCTTTTGAAAATCATGACAAGTGGCGCGCGTTGCAGTTTTCAAATTGGAGGCATTCGATTTGATGGATATGATGGCTTATTTTCGTCATATATGAATGGAAGATGGCTTTCTTTTTTACGTTCTCACACTTGGACAACGTTGGGATTTTCTTGGACTTTTAATTCGGGACATCGTGCATGATATCATTGTCGCTCGCATCATTTTCTACATTCTGTTGTTCGTAAAAGCTGCAGCTGATATATTGTTCTACCTTAATGCACCCAGAACAAAAGGAGAAAGGTAAGGTTGCGGTACCGTAATGTTACAAACGGCAATAACTAAACCGTAAATTAAGCAATTTTGTGCTGAAAAGATGTACTAAATTAGCAGGATATTGATTGGACCTTGAGATATTTTGTGCACGGATGTCTTGTCGCCGTGCTGATACTCTGATAGCCCAGTGCATACAACGTGACGCCGGCCGTGTATTGACGCGCCGGTCCGTTGTCGGCGTGACGCCGGCCGTGTATTGACGCGCCGGTCCGTTGTCGGCGTGACGCCGGCCGTGTATTGACGCGCCGGTCCGTTGTCGGCGTGACGCCGGCAGTGTATTGACGCGCCGGTCCGTTGTCGGTGTGACGCCGGCCGTGTGTTGACGCGCCGGTCCGTTGTCGGTGTGACGCCGGCCGTGTGTTGACGCGCCGGTCCGTTGTCGGTGTGACGCCGGCCGTGTGTTGACGCGCCGGTTCGTTGTCGGCGTGACGCCGGCCGTGTGTTGACGCGCCGGTTCGTTGTCGGCGTGACGCCGGCCGTGTGTTGACGGGCCGGTTCGTTGTCGGCGTGACGCCGGCCGTGTGTTGACGCGCCGGTTCGTTGTCGGCGTGACGCCGGCCGTGTATTGACGCGCCGGTTCGTTGTCGGCGTGACGCCGGCCGTGTGTTGACGCGTTGGTCTGCTGTCGGCTGACGCCGGCCGTGTGTTGACGCGTTGGTCTGCTGTCGGCTGACGCCGGCCGTGTGTTGACGCGCCGGTCCGTTGTCGGCGTGACGCCGGCCGTGTATTGACGCGCCGGTCCGTTGTCGGTGTGACGCCGGCCGTGTGTTGACGCGCCGGTTCGTTGTCGGCGTGACGCCGGCCGTGTGTTGACGCGCCGGTTCGTTGTCGGCGTGACGCCGGCCGTGTGTTGACGTTTTGGTCTGCTGTCGGCTGACGCCGGCCGTGTGTTGACGCGTTTGTCCGCTGTCGGCTGACCCGGCTGGACCGTTGACAGGGTCGCCGCGGAGAGAAGGGTGTCGGTGTCCCCGGCGCCAAGGGAGAGCCGGGGGTGAGTCGATCCCGCTACAGTGGCGGACACGGGCAGCTTCGGCGCCACGACGACGTCCGAATGCTGCTCAGGGAATGACGCCGCCGCTTCATCTTCATGTCGTTGCGAAGGGATTTAGCCTCTCATCTGTCTCTTGGACAATATGCTTAGCCCCCTAGATTCCAGAATGCTGTATCTTAAAACACGTTTGCACTCCAGGTTTCCAGCGTTTTGGGGGGATGTGTAAGATACGCAGTTTTATCAAAGGTAAGGTAATGCATTGTTTAGACGTCCTTTGGGCAGCAAATAACCATAAGAGCTTACGATAGCAAAAGATAACTTCCGAACTATGTGCAGACGAACCTGATCAACCTCAGCCTGGGCCACGTTCATATCCGCTCGCAGTAATCCATTCAGGTGTTTGTGAGGGGGAGGGGGGCAGTTCAGGGTTCTGATGATCGCTGACATGTATGACTCTGTTCGGGCAGGTGTGTGGCTGTGAGGACAGTTCAAACGGCAAGGGAGGCATGTACATACCGGTGCCGGGGCCGTCGGGACCTGCAGGCCCCAAGGTACCGTATCAGCGCTGACAAATGCACGGTTGGGAGTTCCTGTGCCCGTGCTGAGGTGTAGTGGTCTACCAGCCATCATAGCAGTTGGGTGCGGCCGGGATGAATGCCCTATCATGTCGTATCTTTGCTCTTTTCATGAGACAGCAGCCGAGTATTGTTTAGCATGTTCAAGCGCAGTTGATGGCGACAGGGCCGGCCGGTCACGAGGCCCGTGAGCTGGCGCCATCGTCTCGGGGCCCTGACTGAACGTAGAATGATTCACCGCCCCCGTCTGTGACCTGCGCTGACCGCTGTCGGCCGGCTGCCGGGCAGGGCGACGTCGGCAGCCCAGGCCTCTCCATCGTCGGCGAGCCAGGCCCCCCCGGCCCGCCCGGTCCGGCGGGACGGAGCCAGGTGGGGTCACCCGGCCGGCCCGGCATCGGTCTGCCAGGTACGTTTCGTCCGTCCCGTCTGTCCCGTCCCGTCCCGTTCCGTCCCGTCCCGTCCCGCGGCTGTGCTGCCACCGCCGCGCCGACGTGCCGCTGCGATGACGCTCTGCTTCGGTGTAGATGGCGCACGTGTACGAGCGCGCCGCTCGCCGCCTCGCTGCGGCGGCGGACACGCGTGCAGGCAGACGGCGACGGGAGTGTTGGCCTCTGAGCGTTGGCAGGAGGCCGTTTATACGAGCTTTGTTGGCTCCTGTCAGCGCCATGGTGTGTGCGTCCAGTGACGCATGTCCTGAATTAGTCCATGCTGAGTGTGGGAGACCATGTGGTTTTGCGTTGATGGCATTGTAAGTAGCGGCGGCGTTGATGCTGCTCTCACCCGTCGCTGACGCTGAATGGTTGGATGGTGACGCTGTGGCGCCACTGTTAACGATGTGATGGAGCATGACCTCAGTGGTGATGTCGCGATAACAACTGACGTCACTAACAATGATTCGGTGAGCGACACCACTGATTGTGATTGTGCGCTTCACAAAGGGATGAGAAGGCGTCCCACCAACTCTATCACGGAGCTCCGTCTGCAGCTGGGCAGCGGTAGGTTAGACAGTGGTTGTGATTGAACCTCTCCCCCCCCCCCCGGGCACCTAGACGCCCTGGTGTTGAACGAAACAGTCCCCACCCCCGACTCACACCACCTACAACTCCTGCGCGTGCTTGGTCGTGATTGCAACCATGGCTCCCCTCCCGCCCCCCCCCCCCCCGCCAACACCAAAAGCGCATACGAGCCCTGGTAGTGACGGGGAGCAGGTCTCCATCCTCTCTGCCAGACTGCAACTGGAGAACCGGCGCCTCTCAGCTGGTCGGCGTTATCTACAGGAGCGGCTTCGCCCCTTGCTCATGTAGAGGAAGCTTCCAATTAGGCTAAGACTATCTCCAAATGTGAAAACGTTCCTGATATTGCACCACTTTGAACAACTCAGGACAAGTTGTCGGCAGATTACTCGATTTAGCGCAATAACGTCATTATTTCGACTAAATCCGAAACACTTGTCCTCCAAACACGGCCATTCACTGGCGCCGTAAGGTTTGGACCACGCGCCGCGCCCGTGATGCATCGCGCTTCGGTGACCGGGGTGCTGGCTCAACGCCGCCAAGTCTGGCACGGGTCCCGCGAAGGCAAGCCGCGTCCTGTCTGTTGGGAGGTGCTCATCAGTGATGGTTGGCACCATGGCGGGAGTCACCCCTCGCCGGCTCGTCGCTGGTAGCTTGCGGTGGTCCGTTCAGCACAGACGTACGCCGTTTCAAGGGACCGATGCGGGCTTCTCTCTCGCGGAGCCAGTAAAGCGGCCAGCATTGGGTTCACGTTGACCGAACGATGTGTCTTTGTCAGGGTCATTCGCACCGTTAGCTGGCGCAGTGTGAAGTGGCTCCCAGGGATTGTCCCCCCCCCCCCCCAACCTCCCCTCCTCCCCGCCCGTCCAGCCCTGACGTTGGGTCGGGAGGGCCTCACACCTCATGCCAATATCGCCCCCTTCCTTTGTTTGTTTTTGCCACCAGGCCTGAGTGAGCCCGCGGTGTTGCATGAAGCTAAACATTTACACTTATGGACCAAGATGGCCTGTTTCCCATGCGCGTTGACATGTGCAGTTACACATTTTGCCAACTCAGCATGTTTTCGACTGCTCCCTAGACTGTCACCATGGTACATGACAATTCCGAATGCTTTCTTACGTGTCCAATGAATGGCATATTCAAGCATGAAGTATTGCATGTGAGTATTTTCGTTTAAAGTAGGGAGAATGTCTTCTCACGTGTCTGAGTGCGTTTTACATTCAGACATGAAGTAATACGCGTGGATATTTTCATTCAAACGGCGGAGAAGGCCGCGAACAAGTGTGATGGTGATTACGGTACTTCATCGATCCACAAACGTAATATTTGCGCACATCAGTGGGTAGCGCCGCTATCATCTTTCATGCCGCCCTCGTTTCGCTTTGTTGAGGGACATGGCGAAGCGCTCTCCGTCGCATTATGCGTGATCGAAAGAGTTGTCATGCATGCGTACCCTTTGTTGTTTGTGCTATCTGAAGTGTTCCCTAAAACCGTCTGCCTGCAAAAGCTGGATCCCATGCGGACTGCAGTTAGCGTATTATATAAATACAGTACCGTTTTTTAAAGGTAGCACTGGTCTGCGTGTTTGAGATCAGAATAATGTCAGTGCGTTGTGATGGTAAGAAGGAAGGGCCACTAAAAGATTACGACACACTCAAATATATCCCTTATCCTTATTGTGAGCCGAATGATGTGCGCAAGCTGCGTATCACGGCCTAAATAATAGCTTATAAATGTTGCTCCTGTGACATGTGCTGACCCATCTTCTCATGTGTAATTCTGTCACACCGGGTCACGGGTTCAGCTTCAGCTTCTTTCTGTGTCCCTACAGGCGGCAGGAGAAGAGGTAAGGTGCAAGTCTAGCGTTTGCAGTGAATGTGGCACCAACATGAACCTAGATTATTCAAATGAATAAGTTTTGATAGTCTACAGATGTGCTTAAAGAGACCCGATCTCGCTTGCGTGGAGTGTACCTGAACGGCTTCCCATCACCATGCGCGAGTGGTTCCGTCCCCTCTGACATGTCCGGCCATCCCGGTACGGACGCGGAGGTGTCGGTACTGTTCGTCGTTGCATGCAACAGAGAGAAGTGATATCAGAGTTGGATGTTCTTAAGTGTTGGCTGTAAATACGATCCATGCCTTTTGCCAGCACCTGTCGCGTTCCATGTGTGCGTTTAAACGCGTTTCAAACGAAGACAGCGCGGCGAAAAGTACCTGCAAGAAAGATGGCGTTCCTTGCTTGCGTCGTGTTTTTGTTCTGGGTGTGTTGATTGGGCACTGGATAGGCATCGTGTGGACGCGCGCTGGTAAAAGAAGACGTGAACACGATTGCAGATGCGGTGAATTGACGTAGAGCGGTAGCTTTTAACTCATGCATGATATTACGGAGAGGGCTGGAACCTGTGGCTCATCTGTATCTTGGTATCTGTCAGTCATTTCGAGTATGTGCTAGTTGCGTGTGCTACCAGTTGTGCTCTTGTTCGTTGCAAAACAGTGGAGCTCGAGATAAGGTACCTATACTGTCGCTGAAAAGAACTGCTATCTTGGCACCTTATGTCTCCCTCTGGATTTTGCACGTTGCTCATCACCAACGCCTTGAAATACCCTTACATCCTCCAAATCACCAGCAGGGCCAGACCAGCTGTGTTTTAATCAGTGACCGCGTATGTGAAGCAGTGCGGTCGGCCGTGACCGTACCCTGTGCAGGTCCCTGATATGCTGACTCGCGCCGTTTCTCACTGTGCTGACCCAGTGCCGGTCCGCGGTGTGCTGACCCTGTGCCGGTCCGCGGTGTGCTGACCCTGTGCCGGTCCGCGGTGTGCTGGCCCTGTGCCGGTCCCCGGTATTCTGACCCTGCGCCGATCCCCGGTATGCTGACCCTGTGCCGGTCCGCGGTGTGCTGGCCCTGTGCCGGTCCGCGGTGTTCAGACCCCGTGCCGCTCTGCAGGACCGGCAGGACCGCCTGGAGAGTCGGGCTACGGCGGCCGCGGCGGGCAGCAGGCGGCCTCGCCCCAGATCGTTCCCGGCGCCGTCACCTTCCCCAACAAGGAGGCCATGCTGAAGGTCGGTCGCTTCTCTGCATCACGGGCGCGACAGAAGGCCACATCACGGGCCGGCTCGGTCAGCAGCGTCAGTCGCTGCGCCGGGGCAGCTGCTCACCACGTTACCACCATACGGCCTTGCCACGCCTTGTGCGACCTATCCACGCTCCTTGTCACCTGTTCTCGACCACAGCCATATGATATCTCCCCAGGTTTCACACCAGGATTGTTCGTCCGAGTTCCATCTGACTCGCCGACACGACGCGTACATCATGCATAGTACATTTTAGGGACTGAACCACAAATACTTGCGAAATACACGTTGAGCGCCAAGCTACCGTGGCTAACTGCGTTCTTAAAAAACACAACGATCTTTTATGTATTGTGCATCATGTTTTGAATGATTATCCTCCATCGTCCAGCCGATGTGGTGATCAATTAAACGCGGAGCCCGTCTCCACTAGACGCTAGAACTTGAAAGCAGATGTGACCATATTGTCATGCGTTGCCAATCTCAAAGCCACTTGGTGCGAACCTCATCTGTAGATGCATCATCCCTTCCGTTTTAATATTTAATCACTCGTCAACATTGTGCGACCCGACCCGACCCAGGCAGTGACCTGGCAAAGGCGCGAAATCAGTGCGTGATGTGTATGTCGGTGTGTGACCTGCGTCGTGTGACCTGACAGCGTTCCGAGGTCAGCCCGGTGGGCACGCTGGCGTTCGTGATGGACGAGGAGGCCCTGCTGGTCCGCGTCAGCGCAGGCTGGCAATACGTGTCGGTACGTAACGTCGGTTCGCTGCGACCACCTCGTCTGCATTGGAATTATGGACTTCCGACATTTTGGATTCAGTATTGGAAAAACTTTTTCAATTTTGTTGTGCGGGGACTGTGTTTGTGCAAAGTTGACCTCCATCCAGCCGTCTACGTGGGCGGAGCTGGGGTCTGTGAACCTGTTGTGTACTCTGTCGGTGCGCAGGCCGACTCTGTAACACCTGCCGTACCTTTGCACAGCTGGGCTCCGTGGTGGATCATAAACCGACAGAGCCACCCACCACCACTGCGCAGACGGCTGAGCACAGATCGCCGCCCCCCTTCGAGTCCGGCAACCTCGTCTCGCAGGTGGACGGCCCCAGGGTGAGTGGGAGTGAGGCGAGGGAGGGGGCCGACCGTGCACCGAGAGGCTCTGGCTCCGGGGGCGGTGTGCGTGGCGGCCATGGACCATGAGGCTTTGGGTCCAGGGATGTTGTGCGTGCCGACCGTGGACCGGGAGGCTCTGGCTTCAGGGATGGTGTGTGTGTCGGATAACAGTGGACCGAGAGACTTTGGCTCCGGGTATGGTGTGCGTGCCGACCGTGGACCGGGAGACTGACTCCGAGGATTGTGTGCGTGCTGACCGTGGACCGGGAGACTCTGGCTCCAGAGATGGTGGGCGTGCCAACCGTGGACCGGGAGACCTTGGCTCCAGGGATGGTGTGTGTGCCAGCGAACAGTGGACCGAGATGCTCTGGCTCCAGGGATGGTGTGTGTGCCAGCGAACTGCTGGCAGGACGACTGCTCGTGGAATTTACCACCTTCACAAGCATGAAGGAGTTGTGACGCACTCGGTGTAACTGATCGGTGTGAACATTCACGGCCTTGGAACGGGGTGGCTGAAAACTAGCATATAAAGCTGAAGGTCCGCTATGCGCTGAATATTGTGCGACACTATTTCTAACGTCTTTGTTTTGTTTTCTCCCAGCGCTATCCGCACATGGTAAGTGCCCCGAGCTTAGGCTGGGTATCCCTCAATAAGTTCACTATCAAATCCTCGCGATGGATACACATGCATGGATGTTATATGATAATGTTGAATTAGAATAAGTGGTAACGACATTTGTGGAAGCCATCGTTTTAAGTAAATTTGGCCCCTATGGCTCCCATACGTCATCAACATATCTTTGAAAGTCATTCATTTATGTTAATTTTGTTCTTATGGCATCCTTACGTAACACAAAGAGTGCGAATTCCGCTACATATAGTTTGAATTGGTCGAGTACGGTTATCACACCGTTGCGTTCGGTGTCATGGGTATGCCATTTTTACACAATGATTATTCTTGGGCAAAACTACCTACTTGAGGTGGAATTTTTGCCTGCGGCTATTAAAAATCGGCCCCCGAGCAGTGCCGAAAATGAAACAGCTGGTAAAAGGACCTGGCTCCTCAGAGGGACAACATACCCATAGTTAGCGAGGTATTATGCATTAAACCCCAGGACGTTTGCTGTATCCTCCCATATCGTGCATGGCGAAGGGAATTATGAACAATCTGGTTTCGTGAACCTTCTGATATTTCACCGTTTTGTTTTATCCACTGGGCAGGATGTGACGGCCCCACCTTACCTCATGCCTCTGCGCAGAGTTGTGTGACCATTTCCAGCTGCCCCATGGTTCTTGTGCACAGCTCTGTGACCCTTCCCTGCCGACTCGCTGCAGAGTTGCGTCTGGCGGTGCTGTGCGAGTTATAACCATTCCCGGCCTCTGTTGTGCACAGCTGCGCCTGGCGGCGCTGTGCGAATCGTGACCACTCCCTGCCTCTGCTGTGCACAGCTGCGTCTGGCGGCGCTGAATGAGCCTCACCACGGCGACAAGATGGGCCTGCGGGGCTTCGACTACGAGTGCTACCGGCAGGCCCGCCGCTCCAATCTCCACAGCACGTTCCGCGCGCTGCTCTCGTCCCGCACGCAGAACCTGGACAGTATCGTGCGCACCGAGGACCGCACCCTGCCCGTGGTCAACATTAAGGTCAGAGGGCGGGGCGGGGATTACGGGCGGACCGTGACCCGCGATAGTGTAGATGGTGAGGGGGTTAAGCTGCGCGCCTGTGCTTTTAGAGGTCACGGGTTCGATTCCGCGCGGTGCCCTGCCCCCCTGCCAGGGCGAGAGGCAAGCGACGTCTAGCCTCAGTGGCTGAACCTCAGCAGACGGGCCCCTTATGACGAGCCGACGCGCCTTCGCCAGACAACTCGGTCAGCGGTTGGTTGTGGCGCGAGGAGGCCGACCTAATGGTGAACAAGGCGTTCATTATGGGGGCTGTGCTTATGCGGAGACTCTTTTAGGTAGATGCTGGAAAGGGGGGGGGGGGACGTGTGATGGATGCATAAAGAAAAGTTAACTTTGTTTTATTGTACGACATTTATTGCGGTAATCTAACCCGACCGCTCTTGTCTCGCCAGGGTGATCTCCTATTTGAGAGCTGGAAGAGCATATATAAGGGAGACGGAGGAGTGTTCGCGCAAAGACCAACGGTCTACAGCTTTGACGGGAAGGACGTGTTACAGGATGCGTTGTGGTAAGATGGGCTTTAGTGTGCACAAATCCCGAAAAGTGTCTGCGTTGTGAGGCCACGAAAACATTGGCAAGATAAGGCTTTGAGTCGTGCTGTCGACGTCCCGTGCCTTTGTCTGGCATGTTGGTACTGTCACTCTTGTGTTGTGTTAGGTTGTAGGTTGATAACGGTCATGATTCGGTGAAGTGGTACTCCTGGGACCTGCACTGATCGAGTCTCATGCAATGACCGAGCTGTGTATGACGTTACAATGGTCACAGTCTCTGGTGTGTGTTTGTCAGCTCAGTATCTGCTGCTTAGCCTGCCTCGTCGCCATGACCAGAGCCCTGCAGTCCCTGGCCGCTATCTGCCCAGTCAGCAGCGCTGCCAGCGGCGGTCACTGCAGACATGCCCTCTGACCATGCTCGACGTGCACCCCCAGGCCGCAGAAGATCGTCTGGCACGGTGCCACCGAGCGCGGTGAGCGCGACCTAGACAATTACTGCGACGCCTGGCACTCCTCTTCTGCTGACAAGGTCGGCATGGCCAGCAGTCTGTTCCACAGCCGGCTGCTCGAACAGGAAACTTACGCCTGTAACAACCGCTTCATCGTGCTCTGCGTCGAGGTGGGCAACATGCGGCGGCGGCGGCGGCGCAGCGTCGACAGCGACGTGCTGATGAGCCCCGAGCAGTACGCCGAGCTGCTGCAGCAGCTGGACTCGGAACAAGCCGAGTAGGCGACCCGGTCCCCCCGGCCGCTGCTGCCGCCCGGCCGGCCCAGAGACGTGATACGCCGGCCACCGCCGGAGTTGTTGTTGTTTTCGTGTCGGCGCCGCGCCGTTTGGTGCGTTCTGCTCTCTGTTCTGCTGTCCGTCTAGCGGGTGCGCACCCGCCGTGTGCTTGGATTTGTGGACTTGACGCGGGGCGGCCACAGGCAATAAGCACCGCTGAGGATGAGAACTTCTTAATTTTTTTCCGGGCATTTCGCGCCGCGGTCAGCGATTTCTATGCGAGGCCCTGTGAGCACAATCACTGCCAGTGTTTGTCAATAATCATCTTCTTTTCGGAGGTGCGTCTACGGGACATCATTCCATCGGTTCTGGACACGTGATATGTTTTATCCGCGTGCATTGCTTGCTTGGGCAGCGGAATGCCTCGGTTTGAGAGGTGTTGTCAATTTTTATCACGTGTTTCCATTTTGTGATAATTCATAACGCTTTTAGTTGAACTTAAGTATGATTTAAGGCTTAATTAGTCTTATTGAAAGCAAGAGCTTTGACGAGATGCTTTGGTTAGCTTACGGCTTGTTTTAGTTACAACTTGGTCAATGCGATGCTAATGGTTTTCTGCTTGTGCCAAACTTATCACGCTAGTCCAGTGTAGTTTGTTTTGTAAATTTTAACATTTCGGTGAAAATGTGACGAGCTGGCCGGCCTTCTACCTACGGCAGCTAGGGCCTCTCACAGAATTAGCACGTTTTAAACGAATATTTGATGACCCCAATCCTTTTTTCTCCGCGAGTTTTGAGAACAGTGTGTAAAACAAACCCTAGCCCTGCGGTCGTGTGGCAGTTCTTCCATTTTCAATAATAGCTAAGTATGTATTCGAATTAGACCTGTAATTGTGTGCGTTCTTTCCACATTGCTGTATAGGGAGATCGGCTTCGCTTTGATGTTTTGTGAGAAATAAACGTAGTCAAATGTATCTGTTTCTGGATTTGCATGGTCCTGAAATACGTGCACGCTAAATGTCAGGGCACTAGTCTTCAAGACGCAAAATACAACAATTGTGAGCTGAATTTTGTAAGTCCAGGCAAGTACACATATGTGTATAAGAAAGGCTGTTCTTCCATTTTATCTATCAGTTTTACATTTTTCAAATTATTGATGCAAAGTGAAGCTTACTCATTTAATGTGTCACTAAGCGAAAACCGTTCTTTGCTACTCTTTATTGAACAAGCTAATGACATAGTATATAGTAATGCCTTATTAGTGCAAGCGTGTACTGCGGAGAACTTGTGTGAAAGCAAGAGAAGCAAGCAGACACACAACCTCAACACGAAGCCATTACACAATCAGCGAAGGAGTGAATTGTGTCATTCAAAGCAATGCGTCACTGGGACGAGTCACGCAACAGTCAGCGTGGTGACAACTCTTTGGTGTTATTACCATCCACTGCGGTGACGGAACTGTACGCCACGGCACTTCAGGATGCTCCACGTATACACCCGCAATCCTAATGTATTCTTTCAAGACTGTTAAGCCGCACCCCAAACGCGACTCATAATCTTAAGTCAATCAAAATGCAAATATTCGCAGACGGAATAAATCTTACACAGCCCCGTTAAATGTTTGCATGTTTGCCTTATAAATTCGCTTTAAATCTGCTCAATCGATTCACATAACAAGACAGGGGATCAACTCAGCTGACACCCGTGTCTGACCCAATGCGCCATTGACGATTATCTCGAAGGCTTCGGCGTGCGGCCGGCAACTGGGTACGGGCATCCGCCAGGCTAGTCTATAATGCGTTTTTGAACATGCTCAAGAGAGGAGGGTTGTCATGAGAGAGACAGAAAGAGAGAGAGAGGGGGGAGAGGAGGAGGAGGAGGAGGAGGAGGAGGAGGAGCGGGACCCCACGCGCATGTTGCAGGCGTTTTGCATAGTCAGGAAAACTCTAGGTGTTTCACGCAATGCCAGCGTTGCATGCAGCCTTCCTAAAATCATCCTTTTCACGCTAGCTGACTGGAAATACTAAGCGCATCTTCAAATGTCCAATAAGTCGTGATGGTTACCGTAAGCGCCGTTACTGCACTTTTTGCCGGGCAGATATTATCATTTCAAAGCATTTCGTGAAACGCCGGAAAAGTTTTGGAGACGTTTCAAGCAAAGTATGACAAGACGGGGCGAAAATTATGTTGGAATGGGCCGCTTACGTTTGATGTTCCAATGCACGATTACTGTTGTCCACCGCACTTTCTCCTCAAAGCATAAAACTAACCGCTCTACCTGATTACGCGTCAACCATAAGTTCTCAGTCGTTTCAAGTGCGCGGTCAGTTCTGAGTAGATCATGAAGGAAGTGCCCACATGTCTGTGCATGCGGAAGTAGCCGCCGAACAGCAATCAGGAAAACAGGGGCTTGCGGAGGCCTCTCTTGAGCAGCCTTCGTTTCACGGACGGAGGTTCACCACGTGCGCGTGTTTGGCAGGTTCGAAACAGTGTAGCACCATGCACAAGTGCTACTGCACCGCTCGTAATGAGCACGCTTAGATGTCACAATGGCACGTCCTGCGTCAACAAGCAGAAAGACGAATGGCGATGACTGTTGGCCACACACGAGCGAACTTGTTAAAAAAGAGGCACGTTGTCTTTAATCATCGTCTTCGAGCGTTGCTTATCTTGAGCTACAAAACGAATGTCCCGCTTATTTCGAGCTTTTTTAGTTAGTCCTGTCAGCTTGGAGAGATGAATGTTTGAACCTGTCGCTTCACCCAGTTCCAAACAGCGTAATTACTCTGACTTTGGGGAGCGTCCGCCTCCTCGTGGCCACTCCAAGCAGCGCCTAAGGCTTGCAGTCAGATTGCACAATGATAGTGGGGTTATGGAAGTTGCATGAAACGCCGGCATTACAAGAAACGCTTATTTTTTCCTGCAGTGCCGGTGAACACCAGATATCTGCGACACATCCAAACCTTTGCTATTATGAAAGCGTGTTTAAGGCGCACACTATTCATTGCTAACAGCCGGCATCGACCCTGTGCGTGCTTGCCACCAGTTACGTACACGTGGCCAAGCACAGCGACTCGTTAAAATTGATGCATAGGTATGGACTACACGCGCAGCTTATCCTGCACAGAATGACTGACGTGAACGGCAGCACGAGTCGCACCGTCACCATCAGCGGCTTTAAGTCTGCCGGTACGACGTCAAGAGCGCCGCAATACGGTCAGCTCCGTGTGAAAACACCGGGATGGATTTCATCAGGTTGCTTCAAGTTTACTTGTCTTACCACGTTTCCTTAGACTAACAATTCTGCCTGGAACAGCGAAGCATTTGGTTAGAAAAGCTAGCCCCGTGCTCCAGATCAGTCAGGTCGCCGTCATGTCTGATTTGGGTACGGAACGGTGACCCCAACATCCACCTTAAATCATTATTAGTGCATTAAACGTCGACCCCAATTATCTAACTGACGTACCGATAATTATCTAAATGGCATACCGATAAAGCTTGATTTATGCATGTGTCGCGCGCTTCTAACGAAACGACCACAGGAAACCTTCGCTGTCCTCTCTGGCTCTACCACAAAAAATAACGAGAGAACTTGAAGAGCACGACCTTATCATGGCCGCCAACCGCTCCCCAGCGCCATCTTCTTTGTTCCACCATCACTGCTTCCTCTGCTCCAGCATCTGGCGGTACATCTCCATCCCCTCCCGGTTGCACTCGTCGTAGTAGGGCAGCGTCGCCTGCAGGTGCGCCTGCCAGGTGCGCAGGCGTGCGTACGAGTCGGTGCGGTAGTTGTGCGCCTGCAGGCGGGAGACGGTGGCGAGCAGCGACAGGTCAGCGATGCTCAACCGGTCGCCCACGGCGTAGTGGCCCTCCAGGAAGCGGTCCAGGTAGTCGAGCGACTGCTTGAGAGCGTTGGCCTTGGTGTCGTCGGGCGCGTGCCCGTGGTGGATCACTGGCTCCTGGAGGCACGTCCAGGAGGCGGGTCACACAACAGACAACCGACGGCTCCTGGAGACACGTCCAGGAGTCGGGTCACACAACAGACAACCAACGGCTCCTGGAGGCACGTCCAGGAGGCGGGTCACACAATAGACAACCAACGGCTCCTGGGGACACATCCAGGAGTCGGGTCACACAACAGACAACCAACGGCTCCTGGGGACACATCCAGGAGTCGGGTCACACAACAGACAACCAACGGCTCCTGGGGACACATCCAAGAGTCGGGTCACACGACAGACGCGCACGGACAACCAACGGCTCCTGGGTGCACGTCCAGGAGTCGGATCACACAACAGAGGCGCACGGACGGCCAACGGCTCCTACGGACGTGTCCAGAAGTCGGGTCACACAACAGACGCGCACGGACGGCCAACAGCTCCTGGGTGCACGTCCAGGAGTCGGGTCACACAACAGATGCGCACGGATAACCAACGGCTCCTGGATGCACGCCCAGGAGTCAGGTCACGTAACAGCCCACATGGATGTGTGGCAGCGGTGAATCTCCTGGGACTTAGCACCGGGCTCGATCCAATGCTCCCAAACTGTGTCGCAGCTGTGATGGAGCGTCGCGTTCGTACATACAGTGTCTGCATACCCGTGACACTCAGGAGGCATCCGTGAATGGTAGCGAAGATTGATTGCCTACATCGGGCGGCGGTGCGTCAAGTGCGCATGCAGCAAATCACTCACTGGCAGTCGCATTTGTGATGACTGGAAAACAATGTCAAGTATGTGAACGACCTAGGAGGTAGAGCGCTTACCATTGGAGCATATTGCCCGTGCCTTATCAGTAGCACGGGCAAGCATATTGGCCGTGCTACTGATAATAGTACAGTCAGATTACACTAATCCTTACTGACAATGGTAAGGATGAGCGTTGAACTGACCAGAAAGCTTATCGGCAGACATGTGTAAAATAAACTCACTTGCTTTCTGTTGCAAACCAAAATCATTATATTTCATTTAAAATAGGTTGTTGTGTTCAATCCTAAACATTAAGAGGTCCAACAATAAAAACAGCATGGGACCTGAATCATTTAGTCAACGCGGACACATGCATACGCACACGCACATGCACACACACACACACACACGCACTCACACGTACACGCACACGCGCACGCACATGCACGCACACGCAACACACGCACATTTGCTGTTCATGATATCCAGAATGCATCACGTTCTTACATGAGCTGAGAATGCGTCACTGATTACCATGCAATGTAATGTTATGATGGTGCCCAACACGGCATCGGGATGAAGGCCCACATGGCCGAGAACAGTGCTGGTCATTAAGCCGGCAGGGTATGGACGTCTTCAAATTAACCATAGGCTAAGACAGTGATGATGGCCTTATTCCTCAGAGAAAAACCACCAGAATGGAGACAAAAATGCGTTGATATGTCGTCAGCATGCCCTTATTGTAACCAATAGCAGAAGTCCTATCAAGACTTCTGGATAGCAGATACAAAATAGCGGACTTCTGCTATTGGTTTTGATAAAGGTATGCTGCAAAAATTTTAACGCATGTGCATCTCCATTCTCCTGGTTTTTCTCCGAGCAATAAGGCTATTACTGCTGTCTTATTTATACGAACAATGTTCCTCGCAAATGCACTTAACAGTTAACCAAAGGCTACCAAAAATTCCATCCAGTTCTTTACTTCCTCATACAAAAAAAAAACATTTCAAACGGCAGATTTCCATTTTCAATGCGATGTAAGCACTTTTGCCCTCTTCCTTTGGCTGAAATAGGAGTTATGGAGAGTGCATTAGGACGAACTCTTGCCAAAACAAACAAAAGCAATCAGATTAAGCAAAATAATACGGGACAGATATATATATATATATATATATATATATATATATATATATATATATATATATACATATATATGTATATTTTTTTTGCCTCGGAATAGCGTAATTCACTCGAAGGCAACTTTTGACCGGTCTGATCCCCTTAACGTATATATTACCTTGTGGAGAGAGTAGGGTGAGTTGTATCATGTCCAAGAGCATCAGGGTGAATTATTACAAATCTGCGCGATGGATGACAGTTTTGAATCACTCAGCGGACTCACAGCAGCTCGCTTTACCTTTCAGGGTACTTCTGGCTGCCGCCTGCGTGCACACGCCTTGGGATGAGAGCGACAAACAGGTTTTTGTATATCGTTACCATAGCAATCGGTGGAAATGTGTCCTAAGGCAATACGGCATAACTAAACCAATCGTAATGCTACACGGGGTGGAAGGGGAGTTCATGTGTGCTTTATGCTGCTGCAACATGGTGCTTCTCTGCTTGCCCAAGATTTCGGGTGGCGCGAGCTGTCTTCCAAGTCGGTACATGCGTGTCAGCTGTGCATGGGGCATGTTGTATCAGTGATAGAATGTACCGACCAAATGTAACTGACTTGCTGCCAATAATTGCATGATATGATTGCCGCGACTTACAGTCATTCGGATGGTAAGTCGCTATTTTCTACGATTATGTAGACCAGTAATCTCTCCCGAGCAACAGAAACAGGCTGCAGTGGTCGCACAGCAAACTCAGATGAAATGGCAAAAATTTGTCATGTCAAAGTCACGATGAGTTACGAAACAGCACAGACGAGCACGTTACGTTTACATGTCGTAACGCATTCCGCTTACTGGCGATGCAACTTACTCTATGGCAAAAAGGTAACATAAGCACAACTTTCCCAACATACGATGCAATTTTCCGGGCTCAACTTCCCTGGGTAGGGCAAGTTGTCTCAGTTGAGAGGAGGTCATTCAAAAGTTATTTACCATAAAAAGAAATGCTCCCCAAAACGTAGCAGTTACACAGAAAACTGAAGGTTATACCTGTCTGCAGATAAAATAATAATCTTCCTATCCTCAGTAGTTAAAGCAGGCGGGAGCCCAGACTGAAAACTGTAAAACTCTCCCTTCTCTCCCCCATCCAAGTATTCTTCCACACACACTTCACATACCGGCGGGAATTGTCGAGAGAAGTTGGCATGGCAACGCCGCCGCAGCGAGTGCATTGCAATGGGAGAAGTTAAGCGTATGCTGATCGCTAGTTCCCGTGAAAACCGACGCGCCCTGCCGCCAGCGGGCGGCGCCGGGCCGCCGAGCTCAGCTGCTCACAAAGTATTCCAGAATGGCCCTGTTGAGTGTGACCAAGTCGAACTGGAGCAGTCGGTCGATGGTGGCGCGCCTCTGGTGGTCGTTGGCGGGGTACAGGTGGTCGTACTCAGGCCGGCCGTGTGCGCTCACCAGGTACTGCAAGATCGCCCGGCTGCAACACACAGCGCGCGCGCGCGCGCACCACGTCACACCTCGTGCACAGAGCGTCAGGGGCACGCGCACACCACGTGCACGCACTGTCGCTGGCGCTGCTTCTGAGCGGCGCGGACACGTTCAGCGCCGGACGGCGGTGGTGTGGGACGGACGGCAGTGGTGTGGGGCTGACGGCAGTGGTGTGGGGCTGACGGCAGTGGTGTGGGACGGACGGCGGCGGTGTGGGGCTGACGGCAGTGGTGTGGGACGGACGGCAGTGGTGTGGGACGGACGGCGGTGGTGTGGGGCTGACGGCAGTGGTGTGGGTCGGATGACAGCGGTGTGGGACGGACGGCGGTAGTGTAAGGCTGACGGCAATGGTGTGGACGGACGGCAGTGGTGTGGGGCTGACGGCAGTGGTGTGGGTCGGATGGCAGTGGTGTGGGACGGACGGCGGTGGTGTGGGACGGACGGCGGTGGTGTAGGGCTGACGGCAGTGGTGTGGGTCGGACGGCAGTGGTGTGGGACGGACGGCAGTGGTGTAGGGCTGACGGCAGTGGTGTAGGGCTGACGGCAGTGGTGTGGGTCGGACGGCAGTGGTGTGGGACGGACGGCAGTGGTGTAGGGCTGACGGCAGTGGTGGGGGACGGACGGCGGTGGTGTGGGTCGGACGCTGGTCGGACGACCGGGGAGAAACGGACGTGGCTGAGGCAAGGCAATAGACGGTGGTAGGGAAAGGAGTAGGGTAGGAGTATGGAGAGTTGTAAGAGTGGAGAATGTGGTAGTAGTAAAGTTAAAGAGAGTGCTCTTTCACGGAGGCAAGGGAGAAGGCGGGTCCGTGGAGAGGCAGCGGCGAAATGTTACCGGTCGAAGAGATGGACAAACGGACGGATGAGCAAATAATGCAGTCGCGCAGTACCATTAGATGGCACACTGCGCTTTCCATTGTCCCCGGGGTGCAAGGACAGCCGTCCCTTTATCAGTTGGCTGCAGTTCGCCTTGAAAGACACCAGTTCAACGTCATATGAGCACAGTCGGCGCTCATGTGATGACCTCTTGCGAAACAGTGACTGAAATAGAAGTCGGATCGTTGCTCAGGGCGTCAGAATTGCATCGAACGCCTTCTCGGTGAATCCGCCTTTCTACTTAGTGCGCTCTAGCAGGGGTCATGTTCGACACCAGAGCAAGATTACACGGGCTATTCAGCTAACATGCCTCATTCATGCTCTGGCACGGCGCTCAGATTGGCTCATTCTCAGCCCACTCTCTCACTCACGGAGCCTATTCATGGTATGGAAATCAGAGGTTCTGAGCGGGATGGCAGAGCGGTAGCGAAAGAGGGACAGGGATAGAGCGGGAGAGAGGGAAAGGGAGTGAGAGAGGAGGAGAGAGCGAGAGAGAGAGAGAATGAGAGGAGGGAAGAGCAACAAACGCCCACCATATTTGTGCAACCACGTGTAGCACGAAAGTGTGCAAGGACGGACAACCGCTTGTGCCGAGCAACGAGCGTCGATGACCGTCCGCCGCGCTCTTCGAGACCGTTCTGCTGCGTGAGGCTCTCGCCACGAGCGGCTCTCGTCAGGCGAGCCGAATTCAGCGCGCCGTTCCCGACGGTCCACACCGGTCGGCGCGTCCGCCGCTGGACAGCTGAGCGCTGTCGCGGCGCCGCGGCGCCGGCTCGCTGCCCATGCCGGGCCGAGAGCTGGCCGCGATGCACTCCCGCCCGCCGCGGCCCGGCCCGGCGCTGCACACATCGGACCCCTCCAGCCATTAGTCCTGACGCACTCCCGCCCGCCGCGGCCCGGCCCGGCGCCGCACACATCTGGCCCTTCCGGCCATTAGTCCTGACGTACTCCCGCCCACCGCGGCCCGGCCCGGCGCCGCACATATCTGACCCCTCCAGCCATTAGTCCTGGTGCACTCCCGCCCGCCGCGCCCCGGCCCGGCGCCGCACACATCTGACCCCTCCAGCCATTAGTCCTGACGCACTCCCCGCGCGCCGCGGCCCGGCCTGGCGCTGCACACATCTGACCCCTCCAGCCATTAGTCCTGACGCACTCCCGCGCGTCGCGGCCCGGCCTGGCGCTGCACACATCTGACCCCTCCGGCCATTAGTCTTGGCGCGCGAACGCAGCCCGGCGCGTCGGGCCGGCGCTGCACACATCTGACCCCACCGGCTACTAGTCCCGACGCGCGTGCGCAGCGCGTCGGGCCGGCGCCGCACACATCTGAACCCCTCCGGTCATTAGTCCTGACGCACTCACCCGCCCGCCGCGGCCCGGCCTGGCGCTGCACACATCTGACCCCGTCCGGCCATTAGTCCTGACGCGCGAGCGCAGCCCGGCGCGTCGGGCCGGCGCTGCACACATCTGACCCCTCCAGCCATTAGTCCTGACGCGCGAGCGCAGCCCGGCGCGTCGGGCCGGCCGCGCCTGTGGTGGCAGCCTTGAACCGCCGTCGAATAAACAGCGCCGAGTGGCGGCCGCGGCGGCGACGCGCGCCGGCCAGCGCTGCCGCCCTGTCGCCTGCCGCGACCGGCCGCGCGGCGAGGGAGAGGCGCCGGCGGAGACCCCGCCAGCACGGGAGCTCGCCTGTGCCAGCGGCGGGCAGGCTGCTGCGACCGGGGACAGGTGCTGGCGTGGCGCACCGAGCTCAGACAGGGCCGTACATGGCCCGCCGAGAGGGCGGGCGATGTAGTCTCCGCTGGGGCTCGGGGGAGCTGACGGACGTGCGGACGGCACGCCCAGAGCACGGGTGATGGCGCCGGTGTGCCGGAGGGCTGGATAAGCGACTGTCCTCTCGGTACACGGCGCTATACTGGCTCACAAGGGGGTGCACAGAGGTACATGTGTAAACTGACAACCCATTGGTAGACATGTGTGTGGTGCGCAGGCACTGGACCGTCTGGTGGACGGACGCTAGCCGCTTGGTGGGCATGCACTCGTCATGGACGTATAGACTCGCCATGGACATTCATATCGGTGTATGGAACGAAATTATCTTACTAGAGACAGTGACGTCACTTAATATGCTTTGAGGGGGGGGGAGGAGCTGTCAACCTACACCCATTGCTGCCCTTACCCCCCCCCCCCCCCCTCCCCCTCCCCCCTCCTCCTCCTCCCATTCCGCACAATGTTTCTCTCCGCTCTCCAACGCATTTGGGCAAAATGGGAATCCCGGGCCAAGGAAACGCAGAAAATATCCCTGAACTTGATATAACAAGGCCTGGCATTTCCGCATTATGAGTGGCAAGTTCTAATGCTAAGCTAACGGCTTTTATTATGCCTGGTTTAAACGATGGCATAATTCTAAGTAGCAATAATACCGACGATACTCAATGTTTCGAGCCGTGCTCGACTTAAGAAAGTGTGCATGACGCATGCATCCAGATCATCATATATTTAATATACTTCATATGCTTCCAAACTCTTGAGGATGAGCACAGCCTCAAATTCTTAAAGCTGCCAATATAATCGTCATTTGCATTACAAAGTTATTTAACCAGTAATTCCTGGTATATTGAAGGCTGCTAACTTAACATAAGAACTTTTAACTCACCATAGTCCTGAACGGTTGGTCTATGAACACATTGCTATAGATTTAACGTTGATCTTGAGAGCTCCTCTAAAGGTGTTGCAAACCACTCTATGGCACAACGGTATCCAGCTGTCTATACACCTCCTCACTTATGAACAGGAGCTTCACATAGATGCGATTTGTTTGCTTCAGCTTATGACGAATGTATCATATGACAGATTATTACGACTTCTTCGCGAACGTGACGTGCTGTTTTATCGAGGACGTGCGGCACAGGCAGCGGGCCCCACCCTCGGTGATTATCGAGGACGTGCAGCACAGGTGACAGATCCCACTCTCGGTGATCCAGATGGCCGCTTGCACGTTCGTTCACAGTCGCACACAGTGCTGAGGGCAGGGTGCACACTGCGCACACTTCCTTCATAAGTGAGAAACGATCAGATTGTCTGAACAGGAGTGAAGACGCGTGCGAACACGCACGAGTAACCGTCCCGAAAAGCGGGAGGGCGGAATCCCTCTCGAGGGGGACAACTTCCACGGATAGACTTGGCGTTAACGCTAAGCTTTCACAAAAATTGGTGGGTCAGTTGTGCACGGATCTCCAGTTCTGATGCCCACGGTGTCAATCATTCTCCTTGGGGAGAAACGTTCAGATCGTTTTCCTGGGTGGGTAGAAAGAAGCTCATCTGCAATCCTTGCAAAGAAGGGAATGCAATTATTATTAAGCTCTCAATGGGCATGCGGTTACGACCAATGGATACGGGCGTCAAAGTCTTTCTTTCAAGTATGGACGACGAACATACTCTTATAATTCTTCCGAAGATGGACATATGTTCCGCCAGGCCTCCCAAGGATCGCAAGGACAGACAAGAGGTTATTTAACATTTCCGCCAAGGTGCATTGCACTCTAGGAAGGGTTGAAGCTCTCTGTAACAGTCATTTGTCCAGGTCCAAAAACTCCGTCGGCATTCGTCTCCCAGCCCTAGTTTCAAGATCCTACTTTATACCTCTGGCATATTACGTAAGGCTGAGTTCAATCAATTTAATGTTTAATGATATGTGTGTTCGAGTCTGACTCCAATTCTTTGGAGAAGTAGTTCGCGCCTTCCTCTGTGCCCCGGCCCATCAGTTTATCATTGAATGACACTGGATAAAGATAATATATATCAGATTGTCAGAGATAAAGTACGTCAAGAACAAAAACCTGGAAAATCAAACAAGGTCAAGCTTAACCTAACTAAGACATGCTGATCTTAACTGACGTCTCATCAAATTATCATTGAAAACGTATCAAATTGTATGGTTACGTTGATGGCCTTCCCCGTATTTCTAACCTAATCTAGCAAAACCAATTCAGCCTAACCAAACCGAAGGCAGCCGAAACGGCCAAAATGAGGCTGACCGACACAACCAAACACAAAGGCGACGTCGGCCACTCATTACCTGCCTGCTCATGTTATCCATGGTAGACTGTGCGGCGGT